GCGCTGGACCATTTGAGCGATGTAGGGGAAAATAGAGAAGAAGGCGATGGGTTCCATGACGCGAGCGTAGCAGAGCAGGAAGATCTGCAGCTTTGGCAGCGGGTTGCTGGGTGACGACGCATTGTCGTCGCTGACGGTGGTTGTCTCGGGTGCCTGAGGTTCGAGGAGCGTGGACGCCTCTGTGTTGACCGGAGGGACGTCCTCGTCGAGAAGGCGCGTCCGCTCTGTCGGCTCAGAAACGTGGGCTGCCGACGAGGAGGGCATCTTGTCGAGACGGCTCAATAATGGTAATGCAGGAAGTCGCGAAAAGCGTTTTGACACAGATTAAAGAAAGGATAGTCAGCGTCCATGCATGACTGGCGACAACAGACCGCGATGCAGAATAGTGCTTTGGTCGGTGACGGCTTGAGATCCATTGGAGTAATGACCGCAGACCGGAAATGACGCGGATAATGGAGGGCCTTCCCCTAGGGCAGACCGTCTGAGAAACGGGGCTTGGCAATGGGGGATGGAGCTGACCACAATTAACACAATACATATCCATCAAGACTTTCCCACAGGGCTTAAACAAGTTGGTCGACTGCAGCTTGAGAAGTTGAGAACAATATGGCTGGAGCCGCTATTACCGGTAACGATTGACGGATGGCGCTGAAAGCTGCAGCCGCATCCGCACTGAGGCAAGCCACAGCCTGGTGTACCGTAGTGGCTTAAGGTCGGACGTCTCCGACTGTGGGGGTGAAATCCATGCCGGCCCTTGATTGGATTGAATTGGACAGCAGCCTCCAGCCCACCCTGGACGGACAAACCACGCAGTGGGCTTGACGCCGTGCGAGTACTTGTGCTCCGTACCTACGCTTGTATGGGTTGATGAGCATTCCTGATTTTACGGCCTTAAGATATGCATGATTCTCTCCCATGATATAGACGATATATGCATGTACGTACAGAGTGGATGATCATGCAGTCCGCCTGGCAGTCTCAACTCTGGACATTATCCGCACGGCATTTTGATGGGCAGGGACTATGATAGAAGCAGCCTAGCCCAAGCCGCTTTAGCGCCAATCGCGCCTGCCGCAGCGCACCTCACCCATTGACAGAGCGAATTTGGCGGATGCCTGGCTGCTGCTTCCTTCGACTGGAGCGACTACCTTCTCCCGCCCAACTTCATTTGACTGCTCACATGACGAGAAGCGTAGAATATTACAGCATACACACGCCACGCCCTGCCCTGTCATGTGGCTCTCAGGAGGAGCCGCTCGATGACAGTAGGAGCACCTGCGCGCCTGGAGGCCGGCTACGGCAACGTCAAGTGATCGAAACGCGGGAGCATCAAAGATCGGCGCCATGAACCCCCCCTATCTGGCAGTCGACGCGGCGTCCGCTCCGCCGGGCAAGTCCAGCATACGTGAGTGCCAAATACACAGGAGCAGCGGAGAGCAAGACTGATAGATGCTAGCATGCCTGGTCTGCCGCTCAAGGAAGGTGAGAGAGCATGATGACGCGCGACAAATGAGAAGTATGGGATCGAGTCTGACGCCTGACAGGTCCGTTGTGACAAGACACTGCCAGAGTGTCGCAATTGCGAGCGCTTGGGTGTCAAGTGTCCGCGGTACAATGTAGACACGCAGACCATCTCCCGCAGCGAGATCAACAAGTCGGCAGAGGACATCTTCAAAGCCGCAGGCGTGGAGAAGCGACGGGTGGGCTCGTGTGAGGAATGTAGGAACTCCAAGCACCGCTGCACACGCACGCGACCATCGTGCAGGAGATGCATCACCAAGGGCCTGCAGTGTTCTTATCCGGAAAAGGCGGACAGGCATGACGCAAATCGATCAGTCCAAGACTCGCCTGAGCCGTCTCCAGTATCGCTAGGTCAGCATACAGCGACCCAAAGCACGACCCCCTATGAGACAAGTTATGCGGTGCCCCGAGGGCAAGGCATCGGGTGGGACCAGTCAGTTGCGCTTGACGATGTGAGATATCGGCCAGTACTAATGTCCTCCCAGGAGACTATACACTGAGACGTTGCCTGATGATCGCACACTGCGCACCGAGTTGGTCGAAACCTTTTTCGATCGTTCGCATTCTCTGAGATGCCTGGGCTTCCTCCACCGAGAGACATTTCTGCACTCTCTGGAGCGGGAGAGCGTCGTGCAAGACTACGGTCAGCCCCTTTTGTATGCCATGTGCGCTTTGGGTGCTAGGTGAGTTTCGAGATGCTTCCCGATGCGATCGGCCCGCACTAACTGGGCAGACACCTTCACTTTGACAGCATCGCCGCTGGACACCCTGTGGCAGCTGAGTCGCAAGGCGTACCAGGGGCACTTTGGGCCGAACGAGCCCGCAGGGAGGTTCTCATGGATGTGGCCTCGCCCAGCGTCAATCATATCATGGTAAATCTGTCTCGGGTACCTTTAAAGGACTAGCTAATGTCGACAGGCAATGGTGCTGTTATGTGATTACGGGGTGCGCTCGGACCAAAACTCCATGGTCTTCATCCTCGTTGCCTTCCTCTACCGTGTCATCCGTCTGCACGGGTTGGATAGTTTTAATGTCCATGAAACCCTGCAAGACTATGAGGCTGCCCGCCAGAGGGAGGTCGAGACTCGACTCGTGTGGGCTTGCTACTTCATTGACCTTTTCACCGCGACGGGCGTCGAGAAGAACGCATGCTGGCATGGAGAACCGACCCTTCCACTGCCCATCTTAGACCGTACCCATGTCACCCACTACGTCCAAGCCCGGCATACCCTCAAGTCCATCGATGCCAACGGGGTGCACGCGGCTCTGAATGACCTGGACTTGTCCGGCATTCTGGTTCTTGTGGTCCGGTTGCGCCGCACCACCCTCCGCCTCATCCGCACACACGCTCAAGACCTGGACACGCCCATCTGGGATCCCGCGTCGCCCTTTTTACAGAACATACAGAGACTCGACGAGATATACCAAAACCTGCCCCCGCGGTACCAGCTAACCGACGCCATTATACCTATCCTCAGAGAGCGACGTATACTCGGCGGCGTCTTCCTTCTGCACTTTATGCTGCATGCCGTGGCATCTGACTTGACGAGGATATCTCTCCCCGGCTTCAACTTCCCTCTGGCGCCCATCTTCAACTCGGCCACCTCCCACTTCCGCTCGCACTGCCAGGAACGCTGTAGGCATCATGCGCGGCAGACGACGAACCTCGTCCGGCAAGGCCTGAGTATTGGTCGCGGCGCCTTTGACGATATTTACGCCGCGGATGCCGCCCTCGAAGCCGCCAAGATTCAAATCATCTATGCTGCTACCGTGAACCAGTCGCCCGAGGTCATCCAGGAGACACGTGACAATCTCACAAATGTGCTGTACTTTTACGACCTGTTCCACAAGGGCAAGAGTGGGACGAGTCAATATGTAAGTGGAGCCCGTTTGGAGCTTGGTTCTGTGCTAACGATTGTAGATCCGAACGGTGATGCCGCTTTGCTTTCTCTTCGGGTTCCGCGACGTCGCTGAACCATACCGACGCCGAGGATAGTAAGTACAATGGACAATATGCTTTGCTAAGATACTGATGCCGGACAGCGCCGACGACAACGAGGCCGAGGTCGTCGGCTCGGCGGATATCGATCACCTCTCCCGCTTCGCCCCGTTCCGGCGCGCCAGATCGGAACTCAAGGCCAGCTCGGTGCAGAGTCCAGTGAGCTCGTCTTCAAGGCACACCCACCCGTCCCCGGCAAGGCAGGATAGCATGACCCTGCCGCCTCTCATGGTACCCCCCACCACTGTGCCCGATACTGCCCAAAGCCAGCGGCGCAATACGCAAATGCTGCCCGTCTTGCGACCTGCCTACAGCTCTTTCGTGCCACCCGATCCTGTGGCCGTGGACCAGAATTACTATCCAGTCCAGCCCATCCATTCGCAGATGATGAGCATGGTGTCAGACACCATGGAGGGGCAGCCGACCATGGACGACTACATCCGCACAGCAGGTGACATGGCGGGCTATTTGACATGGGACCATATGGAGATCCCAGCGTCGCTGAACTATGCCAACTTTTTCCCTACTGGGTGAGGTTCCATCATGCTGGTGGCACCGCTGTCTTCAAGTGTTCTGGGGTGATTTCGGGTCGGCCAATGTACTTTATCCAGGCATATGGGTCTTCCATCTCGTCGAGCAGGGCGTGTTGGCTGCCCACGTCCGGGGCAGGATACTCGCCGGCGACACCGACAACACCGACGTCCTCCTTGTACTCCTTCCAGAGCTGCATCATCTCGTCGAACTCTTGGGGGTGTTCATGGCACAGGTCGTTTGTCTCGCCTGGATCGTCCTGAATGTTGAAGAGCTCCCATCGCTGGGGCCCCCTGGGCGCCGGCACAAAGGTGATTTTCCAGTCGCCCCTTCTCAGCGCGCCGGATCCTGCGCACTCGAAGCCCATGACATAGTTTGGACCGTGGACGCTAGGCTTCTCGGCTCCTGCCGTGTCGTTGAGCAGGGACATGAATTTGACCCAGCTACGCCCTCTGACGGGTGCGATCTGGCGCCCCTTGTATTCCGTACCGGGATGCTTCACCTGTGCGAGATCCAATATTGTTGGCACAACGTCCATGACACTGCAAAAGGCATCTGTGATCACCCCCGCGCTTCCCTTTGCTCCCATGGGAGGTTTGACCACCAAGGGCACCCGGCACCCGCCCTCTGTGGAGTGCATCTTGAACAAGCGGGACGGTGCGGTGGCGGCCTGAGCCCAGCGACACCCATACCACACGAAGCTGTTTCCCCTTCCGATGTTGTCGAGACTGTTGTCATAGTACTTGTGGACATGTGCCTGGATACTGTCGCCCACGATTGGCTGTGCCTCATAGCTGGCTCCTTCGGCGCCATTGTCACTCATAAAGAGGATGAAGGTGTTGTCGTACTCCCCAGTGGCCTTGAGGTGGTCTAGCACGCGACCAATGTTCCAGTCCATGCGGTCGACCATACCGGCGTACACCTCCATGGCGCGACAGGAAGCTTGCCGGATCTCCTCGGGGAGCTCGTTCCAATTCTCAGTGGTCCCATCTGTCATGACCATCGGGTGGGGCTTGACGCCTGGCTCGACCATACCGAGTTTCTGGAGGCTCTCTAGCCTCTCCAGTCGAAGTGCATCCGGACCGGCATCGTACCGACCGCGGTACTTATCGCAGACGTCCTTGGGCGCCTGCATAGGCCAGTGAGGCGCAGTGAAAGGGAGGTAGGCGAAGAAGGGTTTGGACTTGGCCTTCTCATCACGCTCCTCCAGGTACGAGATCATCTTGTCGGCGTAGGCGTCGCTACTATACCAGCCGTCGGGCAACCGCGGCAGGTAATGGTCGTCTTCGACATGGAGTGCCCGGGTCGCCGTCTCAAAGAACTTTTCCGGCTCCGTCGTCGGATCATCATACTGGGGCTCATAGGCATAGTGATTGGCGCAGCCGGGCAGCAGTGCGTACGATCTTTGGAAACCCCGAGCGATGGGATGATGTTCCGGCTTCAACCCGAGATGCCACTTGCCGGACATGAGGGTCAGGTAGCCACCCTCGGACAGTAGCTCTGGGAGCGCCACGACGCGCTCGTTGAGATAGCCTTCGTGACCGGGCGCGTGTGCGTGTGCTGGTGAGTTGCGTGTGATCTCCTGCAGCTGTCCTAGACCGGCGATGTGGTGGTCGGTCCCTGTCATGAGCATGGACCGTGTGGGCGAACACGCGGCAGCTACATGGTAGTTGTTGAAGCGTATGGCCTCCGCGGCGAGGGCATCGATGTTGGGTGTCTGGATCTCGGAGCCAAAGCAGCCGCAGTCGCTGAAGCCGAGGTCGTCTGCGACGACGACGAGGAAGTTGGGTCTCTTGGCGCTGCCGGACGACGACATGACGAGGGTACCTGGCAATGACGACGGTGGACTTGTGCGTATGAAAGCAACCACAGAGCGGCTGCGGCTACATATTTATGATCATCACCCTAGACGAAACAACCGGGTCGCAAGTGTCATCCCCACTTGGCAACGGAAGTCGCTGGCTAGAGAAGGTAAGCTAGGTTTCGGAATGGTGGGTGGCTGGCTAGGCGTATAGTAGATGTTGGCAGGCGTCGAGCATTCTCTTTCCGAAGCTTTGACTCTGTTGCTGCCACTGGGGACTGGGCAGCACGTCCCTCGCTCGTGATTGGAGGCGCATTCACAACAAGCTCTTGGCAAGGGTTCCGGGAGGCTGCACCAGGGAGGCTGCACCGGGGACGAGCGGCAGCCGTTTCTACCTGAGGTTCCCCGCAGGAAATGGCGCTGCGTCCAGTGGCTCGTCTGAAGCCACTGCCGGCCGTTATCGCTAAACAGACAACATGCCATGATGTACGGCGAAGTCAGAGGTGCGCACAAATCGGCCTGGGCCTGCAAGTACCGCCGGGAGGGAGTGGACGTGCATCCATCCATCCGCGTGCGACGGGTCTCGCTCTGGCGACAGGCGCATCCGGGCTCCGGCTTGCTGCGCTTAGCGTGGAGTGGGGAGGGAGAGGAGGAGTCGCAGTTCACACGGAGCGGGCCAGCGAGAAGCGGTGGGTCAGCAAGGCTGGGATCGATAAGGAACACAGCACCTTGGTCAATCGTATATATATTTATCACCCTGAGGCGTCCACTTCCCTCTCCTGACGATGCGCAGACATGACCGGCTGGCGATGGATGTGGCCTTGCGATGCTCGCGCAGCGACATGGAGTCTCAACGACTCCACCATCTACGCCGACACTGCAGAGCCGACCAATAACTGACGAGATTACAGCCCCAAACTAACAAAGACTCGCTGTCTCGAGAGGCACTGCATAGCAAGAAGGGATGGGCTCACGCATTGCGTGCTCGCAAGCGAAGATGGGCAATTCTCAAAGACCTGGGCAGACTAGACTTGGGGAGAAAGAGGGGAAGTCCGTCATTTCGCTCAATGACGCTGTCCTAGCTCGACTCTGTTCCATCTACGGATAGCTGGGGCGCTATCGAGGGCGGCGGCGAACCCAGAAAACTCGACTCGCAGGAAGCCGGGCGTCTCGTCTCCTCCCCATTCTCACCGTCCTCCATATCCTCACTCGACCTTTCAACCTCGCAACGTCCAGCTTGTGATGCATCACATCGTCTCGCGCCCTGCTCACGCCGAATTGAACTGATCTGCGCATGTAGCAGCAAAGAAGCGAGCCATGGCCGAAGAAGACGTGACTGCTCGTCCGCCGCGGCTGACGGCGCGCGCGCGTTTCGGGCACTTTAACACGATGCTTGTCTTCATCATGCTGTACGCTTCTGCCTCTCGACCCCCGGAATGAGTCATGTCTGACAGGACAGCTACCTCGCGTGCTGCGCGCTCAACTACGGCTACGACGTCGGCACCTTTTCCGGCGTCCAGGCCATGCAGAGCTTCCAGCGCGAGTTTGGCGTGTACAACCCAGCTACGGGTCTGTGGGCGCTGCCGGGCTGGCTGTCGAGCGTCATGACGGCGACGCCGTTCTTCGGCAAGGCGATTGTGTGTGCTTGAACAAACTTGGTGGTCACTCTTGGAGCGAGACGGTTGACCAGTATCTTCTCTACTAGGGCTGCATCGGCGCTGGATGGATTGCCGAGCGATGGGGCCGCAAGATGGCCATTCTTGGTCTCTGCATCACGTCTGTCATGTGAGATATTTTTCATTCCTTTCTTTTTCTTTTTGTGCAAGTGCTGACGACAAGGACACAGTGGTGCCGTGCTGCAGGTCACGGCGACGACGGCGGCGCAGTTCACCGTCGGACGCATCATCTGCTACGGCATGACGGGCATGGCCATTGTCGTGGTGCCCATCTACCAGGCCGAGACGTCGCCCCGCGTGCTGCGTGGCATGTTTGGCTCGACGATCCAGGTCATGATTGTGTTTGGCCAGCTCATCGCCACCCTCATCGCCTTTGGCACGCAGCACATCCCTGATCGAAAGGGGTGGCAGATCCCCATTGGGCTGCAGCTCGTCGTGCCCGCCGTCATCACTGCGCTTCTGCCGCTGCTGCCAGAGAGTCCGCGCTGGCTGCTGAGCAGAGGCCGCAGGGCGGACGCCGTGCTCGAGCTGCGCAAGCTGCGGGCCGGCAAGAGTGAGGAGGCCATCCAGCTGGAGATTGAAGCCATCGCGTACGCCCACGCCAACGAGGAACGGGGCACCTGGCGCGAGGTCTTTGACGCGAATAACAGGACCCGGACTGGGGTCGCCATCCTCGCGATGCTGGGGCAGCAGATCACCGGCCAGGCGTTCCCTTCCCAGTACGGCGTCCTGTTCTACCAGTCGCAGGGCTTCCGGTCGCAGGCGTTTCTCTTCAATGTCATCTCCAACATTGTGAGCATCACCGCCGTGGCCATCACGTGGTTCTACGTCGATGCCGTCGGGCGGAGACCCGTGCTGCTGCTCGGCGGTTCGCTTATGGGGGCGTGGCTCTATGTCATGGGCGGCATCGGGACGATGCCCAAGGACAGCCTCAACGTCCATGAGAGGAATCTGATTGTTACGTCGCTGATGATGTTCTCCTTCTTCTACAACCTCTCCTGGGCGCCTGTGTAAGCCAATGCCTACCTCTTCCCTGTTGTCGATACTCATCCGTGTCTATACAGATCCTTTGTCGTCGTCTCCGAAGCCGCCGCCCTGCGCGTCAAGGAGAAGACAAATCTGCTCGCGTGCGTCATCTCGGTCCTGACCACCTTTGTCACCTCCTTCACGGTGCCGTACCTCATTAACGAACAGTACGCCAACCTCGGCGGCAAGGTCGGCTTCATCTACGGCTCAACGAATTTCCTCATGGTGGCGCTGACCTGGCTCTTCATCCCCGAGCTCAAGGGGCGCACGCTCGAGGAGGTGGACCAGCTGTTTGCGAGCGGCGCCCCGCTAAGGCATTTTGGTCGGTTGACGACGAGGACGGCCGAGGAGGTCTACCGCGTCGAGGTTGCGCGCGGCAAGGGAAATCACGCTGTCGGGAACGAGGGTTTAGGGGAGGGTTCTCGCGGTGTCTGAAGGAGGATGTGAGAAATGAAGTTGCTGTTTCTTTCCATCGTCAGCTGACCCAGCCGTGTTTCATATGCATGTTTGAGTGAGTGGTCCGTATGTTTCTGGCGAGATTATGTATATGCATGTCTGATCGTGTCTTGCTGCCAGTTCCATTCAACCGAGAGATGTCGTCTCACTGGGAGCCGCGAGTCCATGTAAAGATTAATTATTTGCTTTATTAACTGCCTGAGCTGTGGTAATACTTCCATGGCCAGCGATATGCGAATATTTACGAGAATTACATATCATCAAGCCTAGATGGCTGTCCCAGGACATGGAGTAAGTACCATCAGCGATGAACGAGAAGAATTATAAAGGGGTATTTTTGAACTCCACAAACCCACCAACGTCCCCAGTCCTGCTTCACACCTGCGTGCCGAGGAAGTCGAGGATGGTGGCAAACACATCCGGGGCCGAGTACCCAAAGTGTGACCCGTGCGCCGTTTTGGGCACGACGGTGGCGTTAAACACAGACGCCTTGGGAAACATGGGCGCAGACGCCTGAATAAGGTTGTCAAACTTCCCATCAACGGACGCAGTGCTCATGCAGTCACCACCGCAAAAGGGCACGTCCCGCTCGCCGGTGATGATCATGCACGGGCCAGCAAAGGCGTTGACCTCGCCCGTGCCGACGCCAACGGTGAGGAGCTCCCCCGTGGTATGCGGCTGGGCATTCTCAAAGCCAAAGTCGAGGATGTCCGGGTCAAATTCGCCGCCGGGTGGCAAAAAGGCAATGTGGACGCCGACAGCGCTGCCGGCGGCGATGTAGCCGGGTTCGTACCGCGCAGCCAGGGCAGCGACCTTGCGGACGGGGACAAAGTTGGCGCCGAGGGCGAACTGGCCCAGAAAGTCGGGGATCTGGCTGAAGCCGGTGAGGACGATGCCCTGGCTGCTGTCCGGGTCGTCGTTGACGAGGTTGTACGTGATGGCGGACCCAAAGGAGTGGCCGAGGTGGACGATGGCGTCGTAGGGCGTGGGGATGCCGCAGACCTTGCCGGCGCGCAGACGCTCGGTGAGGGCTTTGAGGGCGGCCACCTCGAGGGCGAGCTGCGTCTCGTTGACGGTGTCGTCGGGGTGGGTGGACATGCCGACGCCCAGGCGGTCCCAAGTCAGGGTGGAGTAGCCGTGGGTGTCGACGGCCTCGGCGACGTAGCTGTACTGGGGGGGCTGGAAGGGGAGATCCCAGTAGGACCTGTCAAAACCGACGCCGTGCGTCATGACCTGGAGGGTGTGGCCTGGGCCATCGTCTGGCTCACAGTATGTGGTTTGGAGCACGTAGTCCCCTGATACCTTGGCGGTCTGGCCATGAATGCGTCAGTGCTTCTGATGGTTCGTACAAGAGAACCAGTGCTACTTACACCGGTCGTGAGTGCGCTTGGAAAGTCGGCGCCCTGCTGGGCTAGGTTGAGGTAGAAGTTTGTCACATCAATCTCTGTGGTCGGCGGCTCGAGGTCGAAGACCATGTTCTCCGCGGAGATGGACACGGGCACCTTGATATCGCGACATTTGCGCGCCAGTGCCAGTGCCGCTGTGCTCGCCACCGCCAGGAAAGTTGCCGACTTCATGTTGTTGATCGGTATGGAGGAGGAGAGGAGCGGCAGTGGGGTTTAAGGAGAGTGGGCCAGCGGACAGAGAATAGGAGAGAGACGATCTTCGGATGGCGGGAGAGACGATCGATTTAGTCAACGGGGACGTCAGGAGCTTATTATACCTAGCCGTCGACAGACTAGCCGAGTTGCTGTTGGTCGTGCAGCTTGTCTCGGCTGGCGATGCGAGTCTGGTCTTGGACGGGCGTCCGTACCTCCGTCCTCCCAGGAGTCCAGGATTGGGCCACCTCGTCGTGTCCCCTACTTGTGCCCTCATCTCCCGATGCTCTTGTCGCCGCGAAGATCTGCGCGGGATACCCTTGGGTACAGGACGCTAGAGTTGACAAACGGCTTGGCATCACTCCGCGGTTGTTGGTTCGGCCTGTCTGCAAGGAAAGCCGTTTGGGGGGGTGGGAGGTGCGGGTCTCAGCCCCTCCCGCTCTGCCGCTGAGCTTGGATCAATCTAAATTAATAGTGACTGGAGTTGAGATTGCGATTGGGATTCCCATCTGTTCAGCACCTTCGGCCTTGACGACGGGGCGCGGTAATGCCCCCGTCTCTGTGGGTGAACCATGGACGTATTCGCGGGCCAGGGACCCCAAGTGACCAGCGCGCTCATGTGCGATCTGAGATCGTGTCATAACTGACAGTTCATTTCTCTTCTCCGATCTGCGATGACAAGTGCCGGATCCTGTACGGTCCGGAGATATACGGCAGTAGTGTCCACCTAGTGCATGCCCGACTACAAGTTGGGTTGGAGTTCAAAGCGCGCTCGTGCAGTGCTCCAACAGTAGTCTCCTCAGTGTCCTCACCTCTCCTCACACTGCTCACGCGTACAGTGGCAAGACCAACGTGATTGCTTTTGCGAGCTCGCGCTCCATGCCCAGAGGCAGCAAAACCGCCCGAGCAGAGTGGAGGGGGATATGTGTGTTTCAGTCCGTAGCGTCTGGGGATCGGCGGGAGTAATAAGGACATGCCGATCTGCCGTTGGCCGCGCTGGGTTGGGTGTCAAATTGTCATTGCGTTCCCCGGGTAGTGGATCGCAAGAAAAAGCAACTGTCGGCGTTTATATCTCCGTGAGCTCGGCTCGTTGGTGACGGGGTAGCAGGATGCTGAGAAGGAGGAGAGGGCGACTGCGTCCAGGCCCTTTGGTGGACAATGATGAAGTGGCGTTGTCGGCATCAGCTCGATTCAGGATGAATGATGATCTTTATAGCTGATGCTTTCTGCGGCATCGTGATAAATGGACGTCGTCGAGCGGATGTGGTCAAGCTCTTGAGGGCGCACTACCATGTGGATGGTAAGATTGTACGAGAGGTTGTTAGTGTGCCACCATTGCGCTCGCTTAAGCCCTGTCAGATCGGCCCTAGAGAAGCCGGTTCTTCAAGCTATAGCTGGCGACACAATAGCGTCAAGTGTGGCGTCTCCAAGCGACATGCTCCTTGAAATCCGACGTGATGCGGAGAGAGATACTTGAGACTCAGGTAGAGACTCAGGTTGAGCGGTTTGGTAGTCGACAAATGCAGGACTGTGGTACATTGTAAGTACTGACTGACAGAAGTTAGGCACCCTTTGGCCGTCACTCAGAAGAGCAGCGCATCACGTTAACAGTGATATATCCAATACCGCGTGTTCTCTGTGCAAACAGAGGTACTCCCGCTAGCGCGATCCTCCCCGCACTCACCACCAGACCCTGAATCCATGATGCGCTCGCCTGCGGCCTCACTTTCTCGTGAGCTGCTGCCATGCCGTTGCCACGCTCATTATTACAGCTCAACTATCTGACCCAGGCGATCAAGGGCCGTGGAGACTAACACACTGCTAGCCATGACCAGCGCGAAGCACATCCACGTCAAGGACCTCGACGACTGGGCCAACCGCCTGCACGCGCAACCACAACGACCACTGCTCATACACCTCAACGCAGACACAACATGGCTCGTCCAGATCCCATACCCATCTTCAGCAGTCCCCCCCAGCGGTCGCACACATTACAACGTCCTCGTCGACCCGTGGCTGCAGGGCCCTCAGAGTGACGTCGCCTCTTGGTTCAGCACGCAATGGCACGTTGTGCCCCCCGGCGTCGCGACAATAGCCGAGTTAAATGTCATCCTACGAGATCTCGAGGCGCGACGAGCAGACGGGGATTTTGCAGGCGACAGTCTCGTCGATCTAGTGGCCATATCGCACGAGTTCACGGACCACTGCCACAGAGCGACGTTGGAAGAGTTACCCCCGACCACGCCCATCTTCGCCACCGACGTCGCTGCCGACCTCATAAGAGGGTGGACGCACTTTGACACCGTAGTCACCACGCCTGCGCTCGGGGATGGCGTCGACTGGACAAGGCTAACAGTCGGGAGCCTGCCGCCCTGGCTCGCGATTGGGAGGGTCACCACCCCCGGCAACGCGCTCTACTACCACTCCGCCGTCTTCATCGCCTTTGACCTCGCAGGCCAGGGGACCGCTGAGGCCGTCATCTACTCCCCCCACGGTATTGAGAGCGAGGACCTCCTCGCGCTGTCCGCGTCGGGCATCAGCGCGCTCGCCCTGCTCCACGGTCTGCACGACGTGAGCATCTGGATGACCAAGCAGCTCAACCTCGGGGCGCTCAATGGTCTGCGCGCCGTGCGTGCCTGCGGCGCAAAGTACTGGATTGCGACGCACGATGAGGTTAAGACGGGCGGCGGTCTCATCGCACCGTTCCTGCGGCGGGTGCCGTATTCCGTCAAGGAGGCTGTGGCGCACCAGGAGAAGCAGATGCGGCAGCAAGAGGGCAAAGCGCCAGAGTACGAATTCGTCGAGCTGGGCTCGGGTGATGGGTTTCTTTTGGACTAAAACCTCTTCTCTCTTCCCACGTGCTAGACACGATTACAGCTCGTCCTTCAGCTCCAGCTCGGCTTGCAGCTGCGACACCATGCCCACACCGGCGAACATGCCCATGTACATGGCCTGCATAACACTCTTGATCGGCGTCGCCGCATCGCCTACCGCAAACACGCCCTTGACGCTCGTTTCATTCATAGGCGGGTTGGTCTTGATGTCGCCGCCCGGCGTCATCTCCAGCCCAAGCTGTTCGACCAGGCTGCCCGCCCGCTGCTCGACCTTGGGATGGCTCGCGAGGAAGCCTTCCGTCTTGCTCGTCCCGTCCTCAAATGTAATCTTTACGTGAGCACCCTCGCCAACGAGGCTAAGATGGTTGATCGCGCGGTTGTCGACGGTGATCTTGGACGAGTGGATTTTGGCCTTGAGCTCGTCGACCAGCTCCGCACGACCGTTTGTGTAAATGACTATATTCTTCGCTAGGCGCTTGGCCATGCGTGAGACGTGGGTGATCGTGTCCGCGGGTGCCATGGGGTTCGTGGGCGCCGTCATCATGTCGTTGACAAGGAATCCAGCCGTCTCTGCGCCGCGCTCTTCAAAGCCATGGCAGAAGAGGCAGTGAAAACTACCCCTGTCGTTAGCATTGCCGTTCTCTCAAGACACGGAGAATCAGTGTAGACGTACATGCCACGTCCCCAGCACTCCTCGTATCCCTTGACCTCATCCTCCGTCCGGTCCCTCACGCCCGTTCCCAGACCGAGCTTTTTGCCGCGCCACACGGCGCCCTGTCCATCCGAAACCTCAAAGGTGCCATCGTCAGCCCTTTTCACCTGCTTGATCTCGGCTGTCTGGAACTCGATGCTTTTGTACCGCGTGACGAGGTCGGTCTTGGCCTTGGCCCTGAACTCGGCAGGGTCGACGTGGTCGAACCCGGGGACGTTGTGCATGTGCTTGGACACTGCGTTTCGGTAACGCCCCGAGTCGAGGACGACGGCCGTGTGTGTCTGGCGTGCAAGTGCTGTGGCGATAGACAGGCCGCCGGGGCCCCCGCCGATAATGACAACATCGAAGAGGGTTGGTGACATTTTGAGGGAGACCATGGGATTGTCAGAGGACTTGCTTCAATTCAGAAGGTAGAGGCGCTAATTGGTATTGTTTGGAATAATCACAAGACTAGGAATACACGGGCTTCCTTTATATCCCTCGAAGGTCTGCAGTTGATCCCCCGGGCACTTTCTGCGGAGACTTTACGGCATCTTTGTCTTATTATAGTATACTCCATATCCACCCGAAGGCATCACACGGCCCCGCCCGGAATCCCGTCGTGGACACCGGACCTAATTGCTACGTGCTCTAGCGTCGTAATGAATCAATCACCAAGTAAAGGCACTTGTATAGTTATAGGAAAGAAGAGAAACAAGAATTTGAATACCAGACGCCAAATTTCCTAATTCCGCTCGCTATGCAAGGCTTACACACGGCAAGTGTAGAATACTCAAACAAGTCCTCTGTACACTCGATGTACAAATCCTCACTCGGAGGAGCGCCCGATCAGTCGTCGTCGCCCAGCAACACCCAGGGACCTGCAGGATCCTGGACCTCCCGCTGCGAGGGCGAGTCGTCCAGCTCGCTGTCGGTGAAGCAGTCGTAGTCGGAGAGCGAGTCGTTCATGAGGTCGGGGGGTTGCGAGGTATCCACGTCAAAGGAAGGACGGGACGTGGCGAGTTCGTAGATGACGCGCAGGGGAGCCTGTTGCGATGCCCGGCGCGAGTGTGCAAATGATTGTGAAGAGGCACTGCAGGTATTGTCCTCCTGTGAAGCCAGGTACGGGGCGAGGTCATTGTCCGCGCCCAGGTCGGCAAAGGACAGGTTGAGGGGGAGACCCTCATTGTATTGATGGTCACCATTCCTCGACTTGTGGCTGCGACGACGGGCAGGGCGGATCGAATAGGCAGGCGCCCCGTGCTGAATGTCGTTTAGCTCGATGTCCGAGTCCGTCTGTGCTTGCGCTTGCGAGTCCTGCTCGTCGTAGAGAAGACCCATGCGATAGAGCTCGGCCACCTGCGCATCATCCTCCGAGGGTCCCGCTGCCATCTGCTTTACCTGGACACGACTCTTGGTGCGGGCGTCGCAAAAGGCGTCTTGCCGCTCGAGGCTGGGACATCGCTGAAGCTTTCGGTCGCTTGGTAGCTCGATCTTGCTCCTGGCGAGCTCGATCGAGCTTTCGTGGTTGAGGTTGGTATTGGGACGACTTCGCTTCGATCGCCTCGGAAGGCTCTCCTCCTGACGATGCTTCCAGCGCAGATCTGCCTCGACATGATGCCTCAGCCGCGCCGGGTCCTTGATATCCTGCTGGGCTCGCTGGGTGTCCTGACACTCTTCGCGGCTGGCGAAGCCGATACTCTTGCAAGGGAGCTGATCTGGATGCTCGGCGCGATACTGCTTCGCTGCAGCCCGAAGACGGTGATTGAATGTCCGCCTGCGCTGAGAATGCTCTCGCTTTTTGATGAAGTGACGATCCTCGCCTAGGAACATAGTAGGGATGTCGCTTGTTGGTGTGTCCACAGTAACGTCCATGGTAGGTGGTGTGTTGTAGCTTGTAAGTCGATGGGCTGAAATGGGTTAACAGTCAACGGTAGGAGGTGTCGGGGCGGAAAAGCACAGGGCCAGATAATCCTGAAAAGGATGCAGAGAGCAAGTAGAAGGGGCCTTGCTAGCAATCATGCGAAAGGAACTAGGCTTATATTGAATCAATGCCTGTGTCTGTGTGGCAGGCGATAAGGCTCCGTCCGGCCATGAGCGTTTGCCAGTTTGGCCTACCGATCACTACTGGGCTCGATGGACGCGAACAAAGAAGCAGAGCGGCGACCGTGGGACTCCGGAGACAAGGGCGCTTGTTGCGTGATTGGTCGGATGAGGAGTCATATGGTTCGGAATCGTGCAATAGAAACAGAAGGGTGTGGAATTACGCTGCTCGCTAGAGAGGGCGCATGACCGTGAGTCACCTATCAGGCCCTGGAAGATGATGGTGGCATTGTCGCATGGGGGTGCTCTCGGCTTTCTTTCTGTGTGGCGCAAGCAATTCAAGGCCGCGGCCGGATGCGGTTCACCAGTGTGACTACGAATAGGCATGGCGTCACTCCATGTCGCTCGAGGCGGGATCGGGGAAGCCTTGTCGTTCACGAGTAATGCCTCGGTGCATCGGTTGGCAACTAGACTTAGACTGGAGTCTGGAAGTCTGTCTCCCAGTGATGAGATGCGTGGATGGACCCGAGTGAGCAGTGCAGTCATCGCACAATGCGAGATGACCACGGGCGCTCCTGCTGTCGACGTCCACTGGCCCAGGGAAGGGAAGGAAGCCTGGAGCTGAGCGTCTTACGGCGCTTGGCTTCGCTGCAGCAGCCCCTGTGGCCTAGTCTGATCAGGCGACTCAGCCCAGCCTGGGTTCCAGTCCATCCGCCAGGCTCCAGTCCAGACCAAGATACGGAGGTACTGCGACTGGACCTTGGACATCACCACCGGCTTCGTGCCTTGAAACCAGCTCCGGCCTAGGGTCGCGTCCAACGTCATTATTTCTTGCTTGAGGCAAATGGTGAAACCGCTGGCACCGCAATCAGGGCGAGGAACGCGCAAGATCACCGATGCATCCGCGAGACCGCAAGCGCTCGAGGTCCGGTCTGTTATCTTGGTGCCGCTACGCATGGGTACGTACATGCCTGACTGGCGTCTCTGATAAGAAGAAACCCGATAAGCGCTGTAGCATTCTACATTACAGAGTACACCCTCCATCCTCCCGCTTGCGTTCTCTACGACGTACGGAGGTCCATCAGACGCATCACCCTCACCCTATGGACGTGCACCATCAAACCACGCACAGCGTTGAGACAGCTCGGCATCTGCACATCATGTGCGAGACATGCGCCAGCGACTTGACAGTCCCATGACAGCGGCAATTCCGACGACGCCAACACCAAGCACTCAATTCGTCGCAACATTCGCGACCGCCTAAACTAATGGTCCTACTCCATCTTCTCCAGGTAGGCCTTAAGATCCGTCATGGGGATGTCACGCTCGTGATTGACCGTCTTCTCCCGTGGCCACGCTACTCCCCTTCCCTGCGCAAAAGCGCCCCAGTACTTGACCCTACCACTAAGATTTTCTGCCATCTCCTTCTTCAGGGCCTCCAAATCCCAGAGCTCGCGCTGAAAGGATGTGCCGCACCGCGCCTCGACAAGATCCGCCAGCTGACTGTAGGACACGGTATCGCCTGCCGCGAACGCAATCCCACTCTGCTCTACGAGCTCCTTCGGATGGAGAACGACCTCCGCCACCACGCGACCAACGTCCTCTGGTGTTGTCGCGGTGATGGACGTATCCCAGCTCCCGAGCGCGTTGACCGTCTTCTCCTTGATGTTCACAATGTTGAACCACGGATCAAAGATGAAACTCATGAACACGCCCACCGAGACGATGGTCCATGTGGTCTTGTCTTGTCCGCGGAGCAACTTGCGCACGGCCAGCTGCTCGTCAAAGAGATCCTGCGCGCTGCCCTCGCCGATGACATCGTAGTCCATGCCAAACTGCCATGGCATGTACCTCTTGACGCCAGCGTCCAGGACGGCCTCCGTGATCTTTGTCTGCGTACCGGGTGGCATGGCCATGCCAGAACATGATATGATGGTGTCGTACTTTTTGAAAATGGCGGAGAGCTCTGACACAGGCGCCGCCGCCATGTCGGCACCTTCAAAGTCCGCGCCTAGGCCCTTGAGATGGTGCACTGTACGCTTCTTCTCTGGTGCAGCCGTGTCGAGGGTGGACTGGCGCAGAAGCACAGTCAACTTGGTCTGCGAGTGTAGGGGGTGCTTGGCGAGGGCCTCCACGACGGCGAGGCCCAGCTCCCCTGCGCCGAGGATGAGGATGTCCTGCTTCATTGTGCCTTGTAGGGTTGGGTTTTTGTATTTCTGAGCTGATGAGCTTTAGTTCTTGTAATGGGCAGATACGCGCAACTTATATACAGAGGCATCTTGTGGAATTTCCACAAACCCTTTGAGGGTTCGATGCATTGTCGCCATTATTCCCTGCGCTCTGCTGACATGGACGCTGGGTCGGATATGCACACTGCTGACAGCATGACGTCTTGTCGGGGTTAAGCGTCAGGGTACGTGGGGTAAAAGCTCCGGACGCTAAACCAGGGGACTACGGCTACCCTATGCCTACTGATGAACGACCCTCGGGACTGGTGTAGAACTTGATATGACCGCAAAGGTAGGTCAGTTTATAGTTTGTACATATTCTACAAGAAGCGGCATCATAGCTAGGCTGTGTGCCCTGAGAGTTACTATGCTAAATTGAATCAGGATGTAGTTCATTGATGTTGATTGTTTGTGTTTACAGCCAAAAAGACACATCAATCTGTGAGAAACACTGTGCTCACATACACCATACAACTCAAGTCATATTGTCTTAAAAAATTCGATATCAAGCAACTCAGTCAGAGGAAAGCTGCTTGTTAGCAAAGCCCACGGTGCTGTTGCCCATGTCAAACACCACCAGCTGCGCCTTGATGAGGATATCCCCAATAATCGCCATGCCGATGCCCTCGCTTGACTGAATACCTCCAAAGCAGTCGCCGCCAGAATATTGGCCATAGCGGACGTAGTTGCCGGGAATGACGCCCCTATAGTCACCGAACCCGAACTTGAAATCCGGGACGGACGCGTCGCAGGGGAAGACCACCATGCCAATGCTGGTGTCGTACCGGGCACCGGAGACGGCCGAGTAGTAGTCGTTGACTATCTCATCCGGGACGAGGAGCAGGGTGGTGCCCGTGTCCACGATTCCCTCCCACGCGTATTCACGATACGTGCGGTCGCCCACCTGGTAGCCGGCAATGGGGACCTTCCAGAAGGCCGTGTTGTCCGCAATCTTGGTGTACGCAATCTCCCCCGTGTGCTCCGACTCGTCAATGTAGCCAAAGTTGTAGTTGCCGGGCCGGCCCTTTTGCAGGTTGACCGTGAACACGGGCGACTCGAGCTCGTCGCGTATGTTCTCGGCAAATGTCCTTTGCTTGGTCGGGCGCACGGTGTTGGCGCCCGAGGTGAATGACATGCCCATGATCCCAGAGGAGAAGGAGTCCCCAGTGAGGGCAGCGGAGACCTGCACGGCTGACTGGACAGCCTGCTGGTCAAAGTGGACGTCGCCGAGTGCGACGCGGTCCTGGTATACGATGCCCGACGCTCCCGCACCGTCGCCGTAGCGGATGGACCATGATTCGCCGTTCAGAAGCTTGCTGGTTGAGGAATCCTGCGGTCGATACAGAATCTGATTGCGAACTTGCGGCTGATATGTGTCGGAACTGAAGGTCCACCTGCTTCTGTCAGCTTGTCGTTTGCGACTTTCCGTTCAGGACGCGTACAAATCGGAAGACCCTGTGTCGAGGTTGAGGAACGTCTGTTGAGGGGGCATGCCAATGTCTGCTGGGACGACGTATTGGATATCGTAGAAAGCAGGAGGGCTTGCCGACACAGTGCCAGTCATGCCAGCATCTCCTGCATCCTTGTCAACGTCGTCCTGCTTCCCAGCTTCTCGACTACATACCTCCCATCTGCAGGTAGCTCTTGAATTTGCTGGACAAGTCGGGGTTGGACTCAACCACGCTCCGCAACCACGGAGGTAGCTCGCTCTGGTATTTAGTATGGGCCTTGATGAGCTCGAGAGGGGCATCGCCGCCCCTGTAGTCGACATTTGGCACCTCGCCTAGGCTGAAGCGCTTGTTGGCTTTTGGGGCTGCCTGTGCAGTTTCATTGTCCGCCGCATCTCGAGAGTCTAGCGCATGGTGAACGGGAACGGGAATGATGCTTGCAGACACCAAAGGTGCTGCGCAAAGGAGTGAAATGAACCTCATCGTGGGGAAGATCTAGTTCTCAAACAAGGAAAGGAACGAGTGACACGGAAAATTGAAAGACGTGCGGCGGAAGCTGAATAACAAGAGTTGGAGGCCAAGACCTCCAGAACAGGAGAATCGATGAACCAGCCTTTTCAACAGAGCATCCTGCTCTCCCTTCAAGCACGCCGCCTAGATCCATCGGCCATTGCCATGTGCAATCGCGTGATCCAAGGCATACTGGAATGCCGGTTTCCCCTGTAAAGCAAGTCGTCGGGAATGTACACAAGTATGTAGCTCGCATTTTCGAATATGCTTAATTGAGATGGGCTCTTCATTGGAGGCCTGGTGTTCTAGCTGCATGGGCAAGACGGGGACTCTGAGACATTGGGTTTCGATCGTGACGCGCGTCAACGCGTCCTCGATGAGCGGACGATGCTACCGGTACCAAGGGAGGATGTCAAGTATTGCTGCTACTCCAAGAAGTGCGTGTTGTGGGTGAACCTTTTTTCACAGAGGAGTGCAGGTTCTCATGCGACCTCAAGTCTCGGCTCCGTCATTCATTTGCCGAGTTGAGCACTTGTACTTCATCCCGTTCGAAAGGGAAGTTGAGTGCCTCTCCTGAGTCTCCTCGGGTGAAGTGAGAGCTCGAGCATGGTGGCGAGTGTTGAGTACATATCCCATGACCCTGTCTCGAGTCGTCATTGTGGTGTACAACCATTGTGCAAGCGCGAACTCACGGTCTTGGAAAAGAATCGTGGAGAATCAGCCTTGCAAGAAAAGGTACATTGCGAGTCATACGAAAAGGAGCCCTTTGGGTGGAGCATGAACCTTGTGAGCACGTCGGGCTTTCGCCATCAGGTTGAACTGCAGCAGAGGAAGAACCAGAGGCCCATAGGCCCCGCCCAACGAGGTCGCGGTGGATCATCTCGGCGGGGGATGCAAAATCAAAAGCATCATGGCATTTCGTGACTCGATCGAGTGTCTAAGACTGGGATGCCTGAGGGTCGTTATTGTCGTGGATCGAGTTGGGAGTGTTCAAACAAGCCCAAGTTGCAGTCGTCGACGTGCTTGTTGTCAGGGAGGTGCATCCCCACTTTAATTTCTCGCCATCGAGAGAGTCGAAAGACTCATTCCGCGTCATGAGTGCTGCTCTTGTAGGTTGACTCATCATCCTTTCCTCACTTCTGCGATAAATCTATACGCAACAGTATTATTCTTGCTACTTGCAAGAGACATTCAATCCTGCAGAGAGCAAAAGCGAAGTAGAGTGTCTTTGGAAGAGAAGACATACTCGACCTCTAGGGTTGCTCGCTCCCCTTTTCCTTTTTGCCCCTCCAAGAAATACTCAGCGACCCCGCGACCGCGACCCTGAAAATATTCACATCCAACAATCACAATGTCAGCCGAACAACCAGCAACAGTGGCGCCGTCGCCAGCTGATCCGCATCAACCGACACACAACTACACGCCCAATCAGGGGTATGATCGCGACGCTGTTCCCCCAGAGGTGCGGATGCACCGTGGCGCGCCCGCCGACCCGTCACCAACCGACGAGAACGAAGAGGACGACTACGATGACATCTTTGACGGCAACGAGTCCGCCGAGGAGTGGGATCCCGAGTCGGGTGACCTCACAAAGAACTACAACCGCCAAAGAGGCATGAATGCACCCCGATCTAATACCCAGAAACCGTCAGCCAACACATTCGCCAGCGTCGACGACCAAGTCTCTGCCCTGTCCAAGCACGCAGCCAAGATCCGCCTCGACGATGTCAAGCAAGGCGAGGATAGGGAGAAGGACAAGGCCGATCGGGCCACGAGCGACCAGGTGCTCGACCAGCGCACCCGCATGATCCTGCTGCAGATGATCAACCGCGGCGTCGTCAGCGAGGTGCACGGTGCCATCAGCACCGGTAAAGAGGCCAACGTGTACGGCGCCGTTTCGCACGACGACCAGGGCGAGGCCATCCAGAGGGCGATAAAGGTCTACAAGACAAGCATCCTCGTCTTCAAGGACCGCGAGAGGTACATCACTGGCGAGCACCGCTTCAAGGGAGGCTTCGACAAGGGCAACAACCGCAAGATGGTCAAGCTGTGGGCGGAGAAGGAGTACAGGAACCTGCGAAGGATACACAGCGCTGGTATCCCGTCTCCAGAGCCTCTCTCCCTCAAGCTGCACGTCCTGGCCATGAGCTTCCTCGGCGACCGCAAGGGCTGGGCCTACCCTCGCCTGCGCGACGCCACGATCGAGGACCAGGATGAGTGGCGTATGCTCTACATCCAGCTACTGGGTCTGATGAGGAAGATCTTCCAAGTCTGCCGTCTTGTCCACGCCGATCTGAGCGAGTACAACATTCTGTACCACAAGCAGACGCTGTACATCATCGACGTGTCACAGAGTGTCGAACCCGACCACCCCCGTTCTCTCGAGTTCCTACGCATGGATATCAAGAATGTTGGCGACTTCTTCCGGAGAAAGGGCGTCGACACGCTCACCGACCGCATGATCTACGACTTTATCACTGCTGCCGGCCTGCCCACGGATGAGCCCGCCATGGGCGAGGCTCTCGAGAAACTCTACGAGTCGCGACCGGACGAGGGAGATGAAGATGCGATGCAAGTCGACAATGAGGTTTTCCGCAACCAGTACATTCCCCAGACCTTGGAGCAGGTCTACGATGTGGAGAAGGACGGCCAGACGCTGGAAAAGGGAGGCGGCAAGGATCTCGTGTACAGCAATCTGCTCGCCGATTCCGTCGTTGAAAAGGGCCAAGATGAAGGCCAGGAGCAGGAGGACGACAGCGCTGAGGGCACAGAGTCCGGCGACGGCGCCGCGCTGGATAGTGACGACTCTGACTTTGATGACTCGACGAGCAGGCCGCGCGGAAAGCGATTCGAAGACAAGGACGAGAAGAAGGTGAGTCACGGCCCTCTTCCACTTGACATGAAATACTTACCTGGCAAAAGCAACACAAGCAGGCTGTAAAGGAAGCGAAGCGCGAGAAGAGAAAGGAGAAGATGCCGAAGCATTTGAAGAAGAAAATCGTCAGCAGCACTTCTCGCAAGAAGAAATAGACGAGACCGTTCAAAACAGAATAGACAAGGAAGCGAAACGCGCAGCACCAGAGCCTTTCCTCCACCACGTGCGTCTGCCTTGTTACTTTGCAGCACAGCAACCCATCGGATGATGAGCCTTGATTGTCGTGTTGCGATGCGGGACGGATGGTTCAGCACGACGTGTGAGAACCTCTGCTCCCGCTCCGACTTGATCTGAACGCCTATGGGCTGTGGATGATCAAAGAGAGCCCTGACGATGTTTCACGTGCTTGTAAGGTAAATAGTGACTCAAATCGGATTCATGTTATCAAAGTACAAACGCCCAATCGCTCCGCTACACAGTACCTACATCTTGCCTTACTCAAAAAACGCATGTAAACGTCGTTCATGATTATCATCATTCGTCAAAAGTAGAATTGCTGCTGGGACTGCCCTGGCGGTGGTTGCGCCAGAAATTCGAAATTCATCGCGTCCATGTTCGAGCTCCACGGATCGGGTGATTCTAGTAGCCAGGTCAGTTCATTCAACACCTTGCTTGGGGACTCCACGAAGAGACGTACCACCCCAAATTGTATCATACAAGTCCATCGGTGCCATGTACTGTGTCGGGTCCGCGTTGATAGGAGAAAGGGCGTCCATGTGGAGGCTAGGAGGAACCTGTGGTGCATAGGGGTTTCTGTCAAATGGTCAGTCAATCGCGCTCTCACTAAGCTTCTGGTTGAGATACTCACCCGCCAAACTCCTGCAACGAGGCACCGTTTTGCATCTCCGCCATTGCCATGGCCGCACTCTCCCGCGGGTCGTTCGCCGTGGGCAAGCTGCGGTACTGTCCATGAGGCACACCGTACTGCCCAGCCGCAATGGCTTGAAGAGGCGTACGCGAGCCACTGCCGCCTGCTGACGAATCTCCCTCCCTTTTGAGCTGTGTTCCCATGATCGTACCGTTCTCGTAAATGTTCCTCAACGCGGTCAGCGCCCGCCATAGCGGGCCAGACAGTTCAATGTCTTTGTCCGTTGTCTGCACGTGTGGCTCCGGCGTGGCTTCCTTGGCAGCGGTCGCCGAAAGCGCTTTGATCAAGTCCCCCTGAAGTTGGCGTACTTCTGGGTCAGCTTTCGTCTCGCAGAGGATACCGAGGAGCAGTGCTGACGACAGCCCGTGATACGTAAACGCCCAGCTCCGGGTGGGGATCACGGACACCTGGTGCATGGCGAGGAACATGCGCACCGTCTCTGTGAGATTCTCCTTGCATCTGTTGGCCAGCTCCCTCCTTTGCGCAAGGTCAAAAGGGCAGTCTCGCCGCAGGGCTGGACGACACGCCACCGAGATGATGAAAGAGGTGTGGAGGCGGATGGCGAAGTACTGAAGCCGGTCGAGTGCTGTCTTGCACATGTCTTTGTCTTGAATGTGGGCGCAGGCTTTCATCCTCAGATTCTCGATTGCTTCAACGTTATCCACAATCTGCAAGTAGGTGGCGTTGACAAGCATATCGGGGTTCAGCCTGCGCGATATGATCTCGATGAGATGGTACATTGTCTCGAGGTACGTGAGATTGCTGGGCGTGGCGTCGTGAGAGCTGACGGGGATCGGGCAGCTGGGGAAGTTGGTCATTGGCGACCTGTCAAACGACAGGGACGTGAGGGTGTCGTGCCAGACAACTGTCCACCACAGCTTCCGCCGAATCATCTCCTTGACCTTGATCTCGGGTGGCGCGCTTTCCCGCCCATCCTGTACACTCGGCCGATGCAAGCCCAATGATTGCGCGAGGCGACAAGCTAAGCCAGTCAACGCCCACGAAGCTTCAGCCTTCATGTCGTTCAGCAGAACAAAGTTGGTCAGCAGCAGAGCCTGTATCGAGTCAAACGACGGCCTGAGCAAGAAGTTGCCCATCCGCAGGAAGTGGAACGACGTCTGGATGTACTTTTGCGAGTCTCTGGTGCGGACATGGTAAGGCGACTCCTGATACTGGGAGGCCACAGCCAGAACGCCGAAGAGGATAGCTAGCCATGAAGGAGTGACGCGACTCGAGGACTTGGTCGCAGACGTGGCATTACGTGACCGGTCTTCGAGATAGACCAAGAGCTTCGCCTCAAAATCATCAATGTCAATGACAAACCCCCAGAAAGGCTGCGGTATGTCCTTGTAGGTGTGGAAGAGCCTGAAGCGTCAATGTCAGGTCCCTAGTAGGTGGCCGGATTACTTACTTCCAAACCTCCCTGTCAGACGGCAGCTCTGTCGAGATATCCTGTGCCAATCGCTTTAGGTGCTGCGATGACATGAGTGGGAAAGGAGCTGATGTTTCCAATCCGAGAATCGGCCTCATGTCTTGCCGAATGTCGACGCGATCAATCCTATCTGTCGGCGATGACTGTTCACGCAATAGCGCAGGTATACTGTTCTGACCCATGTACCGGTCCGGTACGGCATCTGACTCCTCAAGGCTGGCTGTCCCAAGGTCAGTGTGCGAGCGGAAAAGGACACAAAGCAGAGACACGTACCTATTGTCCGAGGCCAGCTATCTTGTCGGTCAACCTTTCTACTAGCTTCCCGAGCATCCGAGAACGACCGCGCCCGTTTCTTGCCGACGATTGTGTCTGGCAACACCGACGTGCTCTTGCCGTTAGAAGAGCGATTGGGTTTGTACGAGCATAGCTGTGGATGCTCTCTCTTGACACAGTTCTCACAAGGCTGCTTGTTGTCACATTTCACCTTGCGCTGGCGGCAGGGCCAACACGCAGTACCTGAGAGAACTTCAGTGAGCTTCTGGCTGTTCAAAAGACACTTGGTGACATACCGTAGCGCACCTTGCGATGGGAGTGTATGATGCGATTGGCTTCTTCGGGAGTGAGCTGGTCGACTGAGACCTGCTCCTCCGCATCACCCTGACCATTGTCGGCCATGGCTTGGGCTAGCAGTATAGTTTACTATCCAACACGCGCTGTTGGCTCGTCATGAACATGCAAACAGGTGGGGCTCGTAGTCATGGGCGGTATACTGGCGCACGCTCATCCACTGTTGGCTTGTTGTGATGGCTTTTGCTGAAGGTGCTGGGCAGCTGGAGTACACTGAAGCTGCGGATGCCGAACACCGAGAGGTGAAGACAAAAGAGGGGACAAGGAGTGGGCGAAACTCGGGCTGTTGCCGCCTTCGGGGTATGAATAGGACCATAGTTCTTCCGGCGGGCAGCGACAGTGGGGGAACCCAACCCACCCCTAGGCGGCTGGCGCTCGGACCCCGACGCGCTAATCGCTGGAATTGATTCATCAAACGCGGAAGGAACTCTTCTTGATCCTCACGTGTTTGCGCTCCTGACTGGCGTCAGGCTACGCGCCTCCCTCGTCAATTGACGCCCTATCAAAAAATTGACTCCGACTCCAGCTTCAACGACTACTGGCTCTCACTGGCCGTCCCTCAGCAGCCCGCATGACTCATATTCCGGGGTCGTTCGACCCGTCAAGAGTGACGCTTGACGATGGCCTCGACCTCCCATCCTTATATCCAGCCGCGACGCCTAGGAGCGCGACTCGAGTCACTCGACGAGATCGTACGCTTGCTGAACGAAGACTATGGACTTGATATCGAAGGACCAAAGTCAATTCGGCCGCCGTCTTCGATATTAGGTTTGGCAGAGACCCGGGCGCAAAAGTCTATACAGATACAGGAAATCTACGCGCGATTGGAAAAATTGCACGGCAAGAATGCTCTGTCCGAGAAACTCTTTCGCTTCAAATTCCAAGCTGAGCAGATGATGAGTGGCTGGGTTTACAAGCCCCTCGCCAATGTCGACACCCCTCTTCAGTATCGCCGGGGAGCCCCACTTGGCGCCCGCTGCGAGGAGGAACGGGCCGAGCTGCGTCAATGTCTCTGCAAAATCCTCCGCGACAGTTCGCCAACGAGCATGAGTGCGAGAACACGCCGCCCTTCTACGCAGAAAAGAACTTCTGATCAGTACTGCGAGGGACCGTCCAAGAAGACGTGCAGCCTCCCCAGCGAAGATGAAACAAATCACAGCATCGATCACGTCCCTGTTCGATCAAAGGAATCGGAGTGCTTGCCGCGGCCGGGCCTGGATCCTCTGCTACATCGTACTTCCAATGGCTCTTTAGGGACTGCAACGTCGGCTATTTCAAGCCGCGAATCGTTTCACACCAACGTTTTCTCGTTCGCCGGACCCAACAATACCCCATCCAGTACGCAGAACACAGATGCAGAACACGGGCAGGTCCAGAGAGATAAGCTGCCTGCGCCAGATGACATCCGGTTGAGCCAGGTGTTCGACCTAGGATCTCAGGATATGGAGCCCAGGAACGAATGTTTTTCGCTTTTGGTTCCACCAATCGGGAGCGCAGGACCTCCCCTTCCCACATCGCCAAGAAAACCCAGCAACCTAGGCCACCTCTGGCCAAAATTCCCCTACCCAAAGCTGACCCACGCGCCTCTACCCGTCGCATGGGAGATCGTCAGGGCTGCCATGAACTGCGGAGTCGACTTGGATCACTTTGACATGGAGTACAACCCCGGGGAGGAAATTTGGAGCGATCAAAAGAATTTTTGGAGCATGTTATCTGATCATCGACTCTTTCTCCATAAGGACATGCCTGCAAAAAGCGAAGCAAGCTGCTGGCAGGCAGCATTGAGGGATTTCCAGATCAAGAACAACCGGTGCATAAGTTTAGAGGCCGAATTGGTGCCGACGACAAGCCCGTTGGACCTCGTTACCAAGTGAAGCTGACGCCCCTGACGTCGCAGATGAGTTGTCGTCTCGAAAGGCGATTTGGAAGCGATCGGTTCTTGAAACTAATCATCCCGGCCCCCTCACACATGAATGAGAACGATGCAGAGGATCTGCGCGCTTGGCTTCATGGGGACCACCACTTCCTTGGGCGAATCTGGAAGGCCTTTTATTCAAGCCCTCTCAAGACGCCGGCATCGCCAAGCCTCAGTGACAAAACCCCCAAAGATCCCACTGACAACAGGCAAAAGAAGCATTATGACTACCAGGAACGTGTCTACTTCTTCGCTGTCAACGGCAACCATTTCCGACCACCTGAGGACCCGGCTTGCCCTATCCCTCCGGCCCACGAAGCTCTTACGCCACAATGTCGAACAAAGCTGAGCTACGCAGACTTTCTCGACTGGGCCATCAGCGCACAGAGCTCCTCGGAACAGCCGTTTTTGAAGTTGTTTTCCCGTATAGCTCTCGGCCTCAGCAAGACTGACCCTACAGTGATACTCGAGCCTGGCCAAATCTATCACAAAGAAAAGGATCTTCTATCGCCGACTGGCGCGGTGATGAATGACGGTATCGCTCGCATGTCACGAGCCTTGGCCAGGAAGGTTGCTGAGTGCCTCAACTTAGATGAGCTGCCTAGCTCGTTCCAAGGACGGTTCGGAAGTGCAAAGGGCATGTGGATTGTGGATGTCCACGACGATGGACTCGACAAGTCCATATGGATCGAGACCTACCCCTCGCAGCGAAAATGGGATTGCGACTTCCAGGACCCGCATCATCGTACTTTTGAAGTTCGATCGTATTCCAAGGAGCTGCGTTCCGCCAACTTGAATCAGCAGTTCATCCCGATCCTGACACACCAGGCAAAGGACCCTACTGCTGTGAAGAATACCATTGTGGAATGTATCAAAACAGGACTCTGCGCGGATCTGGCGGAGCTTCGGGACGCTTTTCCAGACAGTCGTGATTTGCTGCTGTGGTTGCAACGGGCTGGTTTCATGTCCACATTCAGTCGCCAGTCGCAAGGGCAAATTCCATACTTGGGGCGCGTTCCGGACGACGAAGGAGAGCGAGCGTGTGCTACACTGCTGTCTGGGTTCGACGCGAAATGCCAATACACATCGAACTTGTTTTGGAAGATGGCAGAGAGAAAGGCCGACGATCTCAAACTCTCTATGAAGATCCAGATACCCTGTTCCGCCTATGCATACATGGTCCTTGACTTTGATGGCATTCTTGCGCCGGACGAGATACACCTCTCCTTCTCCACCAAGTTTCAAGCGGGCGACTTTTCGGATACCAACATTGAGGGGGTGGACGTGCTTGTAGGCCGGTCGCCCGCTCACTTTCCCAGCGATATTCAGAGAGTCCGGGCGGTGTCGAAGCCGGAGCTCAGGCGCTTGAAGGACGTTGTCATATTTCCAAGCACTGGCGACACGTCTCTGGCGGACTTGCTGTCCGGGGGTGACTACGACGGCGATATGGCCTGGGTCTGCTGGGATCAGTCGATCGTGGGCGGGTTTCAAAATGCAGAGCCGCCTCCAAAATATGATTTTGTCGAGGAAGGGTACTTGACCAAAAATCGCGCCCGCTTTTCAGACATTGTCCGAGGCCATGACGGGGACATGGATAAGGCGTGTGAAGACTTTCGCATCGAGGGTCTGTCGTTCGCAATGGAGCCTTCTTTGTTGGGCAAATGCACCAAATACAAGGAGAAATTGACATACTGGACGAATAGCGTCGATAGCGAGCAGGCAGTGCTCGTGAGCAATCTCCTGGGCGAGTTGGTCGATCAGAAAAAGGCTGGCACGACGTTTACCGAGGATAATTGGCTCCGGTTCCGCCAGGAAAGACTGCAGTGTCCAATCAAGTACGAAAGCCCGGAGTACGAAAAGGAGCGCGCCTCCGACGCGTGTAGGGAGAAATTGCCCAAGGACAAGCACGTCCTGGACTACATCAAGTTCGATGTCGCCAAGAAAGTTGTGGATCGAGCCCTCGAGGACGTTCATCATGCACGAGCCGCCCGAGAGCCTCTCGCGTACGATGAGCACGTCTGTCAGGTATACCGAGAGTGGGACATGATCGCGCGCGACTCGAATACGCGCAAAAGCATGATGGCAACGTTGCGCGCCGACCTCTATGACCTGGAGAAGAAATGGACGGAATCAGTCAACGAGAACAAGGGCTTTAGGGAAAGGGTGACGTTGCACTACGAGCGATGGGTCAAGATTGCGCCACCTGTCCGGGTCCGGGGTAACAGTGTGGTGAAGCAACTCAAGGGACTGCACGATAGGTTTGTCCCCCTTGGTGTCGCCTACTACCAGACACTGGACGACGACGACTGGACCGCGCCGTTCAGTCATTGGAGCCTACTGAAGGCATCGACTACGTTCCACATGTTCTACAGCAAGCGACTAGACTTTGCGTGGTACATGGCAGGGAAGCAGATCCTCGCATTGAAAGCAAATGTCATCTCTAACAAGCCCGAGTACCAGAGGTCGTCAGCGTCTACCGTGGTCCCGTATATGATGCCTCTGCTGAAACCGGACGGCAAAGCCATCGCCAAGCTCGCCGCGAAACGAAAGGCTGCGGCTGCGGCTGCGGAGTCTGATCTGGAGGACAAACTGGATGAGGCCGAGGATTATTGGGATGAGGTCGGCACAGTCATTGATGACTGCTGATGATGGGATATTGCGACATGTGCTCGTCACTGACACAAACAATGAGACAGGTCCTGCATATGGGATTCATTTCTTGGCGTATGGATTGGATCGTGCCTGGTGGCGGATCCTGGGCGAAAGACGATTTGAATGGATAATCGACTGCAATGGGCGACCTGATCCTCGGAAGGTGAATCGCCGTTTTCAAGGCGCTTCGAGGCTATGTCGGAGATGCTGATGCGCTATAGGGCGACGGCTTCCTCTCTACCTGCTAGAGAGAAGCCTAGACAATCATACAATCATAGAACGAGCGCTATTTGTCCGAACCTTTTGAGCTTGGGGGTTCACTCACGGGGGATCAAGGTGGTTTTTCACCCAGTCAATATTCGAGTGAGTGACACGTCATGGTCATCCGATGCTGCCTTTCCCTTCCTCTATTTTCCCTCGCCTTTGATTTCTTCTTCCCTCGCCTCTTCTCTATTTTCTTTGCCTTCGACCTCTCCTCCTCTTCGGTTCTCCTCACCTTTCATTGTTCCTTTTCACTCGCTACTATCTCCTTTGATCTTTCTTATCACATCCCCCAGAGCTCGTTCGCTCCATACAAGCACACCTGGTCTTCAGCTTGCTACAACTTTGCCAGAAAAGACTCCTGAAAATGTCGGACGCCAACGTCAGCGCGCGGAAACGAAACCATCGGCACGACGACGCCATAGACGTGGCACCAGAGGAGCTGATTTACCAACTCCTCCTGCAAGACGTGGAGGACTTCGGGGAATCCTTGAAAGGCAAGCAACATGAGGGGCAAACTACTGACTTTGAAGTGGCCCTCAGTGTCTACCAGGACAACATCCTCGCTGCCAGTGATCAGAAGATGGCCGCTAGCATTGCCGAGGCTTTACAATCTGACGATACTTTGATCCAGGCACACGAGGCCATGGAGCTCCAGACCAGATATGACAGAGCCGTCGCGCTTTACATGGATAGCCACCCAGCTGACGATGTCGGCGCTGCTCCTAGCAAGATCCCGCAGTCCACGCCAGAACCCACAGTCGACGAACACCTCCTTCGCACACTCGAAAGCCTCAACATCTTCAGCGACGCATCGGCGGGCGGCGTATCTTCCTCGTGGGCAGCGAGCCGTGATCCCTCACGTGGACCCGACCGGGGGCCCATCGAGGTGCAGACGTGCATTAGCTGCACAGACACTGCTCCCGTCTCTGTCATGGTCAAGACAGGCTGCTTGCATTAGTACTGCAACGCCTGCGTCAATACCCTCTACAACGGCTGTCTAAGGGACGAGTCTCTGTTCCACCCCCACGGTGCTGCAAGGTGCCGTTCACCCTGGACGACGTGCTGGATATGCTGGACATCAAGACGGTCGGATAGTACAAGGCCAAGGAGGCGGAGTCCGGGACGACAGACCGCACGTACTGCCACAAACCTCGTTGCTCCAACTTTGTGCCGCCTCAGTTCATCAAGGGTGACGAGGCTATCTGCGTCAAGTGTGGTTCCAAGACGTGCACGCTTTGTAAAAAGGCGGACCATACGGGAGAATCATGTCCTCCTGACGAGAATATCGCCATGTTCAAGGAGCTGGCTGAGAAGCAGGGCTGGCAGCAACGTGAGAAGTGCAATCGAACGGTCAAGCTGGCAAGCGGTTGCTACCACATGAGTAAGTTGGCTTTGTTTGACTGTCTTGTGGTGTTCTTTGCTAATTACCTCGTCATTTAGCCTGTGTCTGCAAACACCAATTCTGCTATGTTTGCGGCGTCGAGTGGAAGAAGTGCCCCTGTCATCAGTGGGACGAGCAGGCTCTCCTCGGTCGCGCTGAGGAGGTTGTCAATCGTGAACGGGCCATCAGACGTCTGACCATTGTGGAGCAGCGAAGACTTATCGTGGAATAAGCCACGCAAATCCGGACGAACCATGAGTGCACCCATCGATTTTGGACTTCCAGGAACGGCGAGTTCCAGTGCGAGACTTGCCATGACACACTGGGACAGTTCATCTGCGAGTGTCGGCAGTGTCGAATCCTGGCGTGTCGTCGATGCCGACGGAACAGACTATAAGTACTACCTTTATCAAGGATATTGTGCGGGACGAGGTTGGTAGAGTATACATGTAGTGTCTGATAATACTCGCTATCTTTTTTGCATCAATACTCGCTATCCTTTTTTTATCAACTTGTGAAAAGTCTTGGTAATGTGTATACATAATTTTGATTGAAGGATGGCCTTAGGCCCTTGACCCTAACTTAGAAGGTTATATTGGCATCCAATGTTAAAAGAAGTAAAGAAACAACCGAGGACCCTAGGACAACCCCCAATACATCTAGCTTACGGCCAACGCCCCGGGACGACCTCAGCCTCGCCAACGAGGTCCAGTACCCGTATAGCAAGACAAAAGCAATAGCATCGTACAACCCTGGCTTGCCCAGACTCACCATCCTCCCGTGGTGACATGTCTGCGCCCCCGGGCGCATCGTGTATGCCGAGTACAGCCAGAAGGCAGATGGAATGAGCCACAGCGCCGCCTGGAGACGCGTGCGGTAGACCCGGGCTGGGCTGGGGTCAACGGGGAGCCTAACGTATGGCCATGTTGCAGCAGTAAGGGCGGCGAGGCCGAACTATTCGGTCGATAACTGTCAGTTGTAGTCGTCGGATGGTGGTCACGGGGGGCACGCTGCTCACCAGGCAAAACAAGTTGGGTACGAATGTTTTCTGCGTGCAGGAGGTCATTCTGTCTGCTGTGTATTATACTGTGCTTCAATGATTAGACAGGATCTGGGGAAGATGGGCTTTTTTACATGGCCCCAGGCCAAGTGATCGGCGATCCTGCTGAGTGGCAGTGCTGGGGTCAGCAACGCCTGTGCCACAGACGGTACACGCCGGCACGTATGAACAACATGATAACGTCAAATGTCGATCGCTGTCCTTGTACATATAGAGTGTATCTGCTGCCCAACCCAAACGCCAGCCCCAAAATCCAAAGGCTCCTACGCGTCGGAGGCGACTGGCTTATACTCGCCCTGGACGTCGCCGCCCGCACTGCGTCTCCTCCGCGTGTAGCAATACCACGCGACAGCGACAAAAGACCCCGCGACAGCAACGAGGCAAATACCAATGCTCGGCAGGCCCCACGAGCTGTCCGAGGCGGCTTGGGCGACAGACTTGACAGACGCAATGTTGCTCTGTACAACAACAGGCTGGCCCGTGGCCAGATCCCAGACCAGCGACGCCCCGAGGACCTGGTCATCCTTGTCCAGCGCAGCGCACGCGACGTACTGTCCACGCGCATCCGCGCCCAGGAACGCCACCGTCTCGAAGCCCTGCTTGTCCACGACGCCACGGTAGTTGTCCATATCCTGAATCGTCGCCGGGTCGTCCCCCACAAAAAGGCCCCAGCGGGCAACGTCCGTCGCACCGTTCCACGAGAGGTACACGGTCGCATTCGCCGCGGTCCCGAGTGGCGTGACGTCCACGCCTATGCTGGGGGGCCACGTCGGGCGTCCGGTCCAGTGGCCGCGCGTGACGCGGTAGGCGAACATGTCAGGGGTGTTGTCGACGCCCAGACGGCCGCGCTGGACGTCCATGGCGACGCGGCCGTCGGCGGTGTACTCGACGAAGCCGGGGGACCAACCCCAGGCGGTCATGACGTTGCCGTTGGGCAGCTTCTGGACGCCGCCCATGGCGCCGGCGTCGACGTGCTGGGGGTGAAAGTACTCGTGCACGAGCTCGGCCGTCATGGCGACGGTGTCGATCTTGATCTCGAGACCGCGCGAGAGGCAGGGCGTGTCGCCGCATGCGCCCGTGTGCTCGCCGTGGTTGTCGAACATGGTGATGGTGGTCTCGTCGGCGTCGATGAAGCGGGCGTCGTGCTGCCAGGTGAAGTCTGTCGCTCGGCCGTCGCTCAGGTCCTCGAACTGGCTGTGGTCGCCGCCCAGGGTCCAGAGGGGCCGGCCGTCGTCGTGGGAGATGAGGGTGAGGAGGCCGAGGTGGCGGCTGGAGACGAGGTAGTCACCTGCTCGCGTCTTTTACGTGCGCCAGTGTCAGCTCCCTCTCATCACATGTAGCAAGCAGCACAGACCTTTTGCACCGAGTTGATATGAAAGAAATCCAGCCCAGAGGTGTCGGTCACGCCAAAGCCAGGGGAATACCTGGCGTGCGTGTCGTTGACATCAAACCAGTGTGAGGCGGACCAGTCGAACAGCAGCTCGTTGGTCGCGGGATCGACCTCCTGGAAGCCCGAGTCCATGAGCAGACCGTCCTCGGAGCCACCCCACTGCGTGCAGTTCCAGGGGATGTTCAAGTACGTGGTGAAGATGACGGTATCGTCGTGCGTGATCTGCATCTCGTGCATGTCGGCCAGGGCGCCATCGAGCCCGACGGCGGTGACGTTGTACTTGAGGTTGTACTGCTCGTCCACGACATGGCAGTAGCCATTAGCGTGGCCACGCGAGTGGGAGCCCTCCCAAAAGGTCAGGTACTGCGTGCCGTTGATCGTCTGTGCCTGCGAGTGGTAGGCGTTGCGATACTGCTGGTCGGCGTAGACTAGGCTGAGGTCCTTGCCGTCGAGGATCATGGGGCCGGCGCCCTCGTGTCCGTAGACGGAGCCGATGAAGATGTAGGGCGGCGAGTCCTCGGTCAGGCTCTGGTCCCACGCGTTGACCTGGAACACGGGTGCGATGATGGACGAGGAGCGGAAGGTCTGTTGGGGAAAGCCGTGGTGTTCCTCGTCGAGGCTGTTGAACTGTTCGACGCTGGTGAGGAGCTGGACGTCCGCAGAGGCGAGGCGAGCCGCCAAGGCTGCCAGTGTGAGAGATGATTGTCGCATGATTTTCGTATTTCCGCTGGTCGGGTAAGGACAGGACGCATCAGAGATGCTCAAACAGACTTGGAGAGGTCTCCGAAAGAGTGTCGTGTAGGTTGAGAATCCAAGATGAAGAGGCTGAGGCTGAGGCTGTTGTGAGACGGCCACGCACAGTGCAGGCGACGTATCGAGGCAAACGAGAGGATGACGCAGCGCTTTGCAAGAATGAGTAAGCGAATGAGCGAATGAGCGGATAAGTGAATGAATAAATGAATGGCAGAGCTGGCGACGCTCGATGCGATACCAAGGACAATCGGGGGTCCAGCTGGTCTGGCGGGTTGAGGGCTGGGAACTTGGGGCGAAAAAGATGGGCGGAGCAGCGAAAGTCCAGACTGCCGCCTGTCCCTGAAGCTAATGCAAGTCTGCAAGGGGCCGGCAGAGATGTTGTTTGCCAGTCTCCCAGCGCCCGAGGCCCAAAGTCCAAGACACCAAGCCAGGGTCAATCGCAGAGCCTAGAGGCGATCTCCTATGGCCCATGCTGCCGATCACCACGCCCGGTCCGGTGTAGCATCGTCTGGGGTGGATCAGGAATCGGCTACCATTTAATGAATGTACGTAGCTGCGTACCGGTATTGACGTTGAACTACAGTAGCCACCAGGTATTCGCCATCCAGCGCGCTACTGACCATCGCTCGCCATGATCTCGAGAAGCCGGCGAGGCGGCTGTGCAGCGGCTGAATTGGATTGTAAATTGCTTCCAGGACGGGAGCCCTGCCCATAGCCCTGCCCGTAGCCCCTTTCCCACCGTGGCTTTTGTGGCTGCTCCCCCTCCTCGATTGATTGGGACGCACCCTCGCGAGTCGTGGACCGCACCTTGTCTGAGGCGCACAACTCAGATACGCGCACTCCGTACTGTGTTTGGCAACCTACACCAAGCAGGACCTGGAGGATGCGTCGCAGTCTGTCCACATCCTGAGGCCATAGTCTGAACCACAAAGATCGACGACGCTGGACACTAGCCGTCCAGTCTTTGATTAACATTAGCTGTTGGAATAATACTACGCAAATATCAGCCTCAATCGTTAGCGCCATCGCTAGCTCCAGGGAGAGAGGCACACCCAGTCTCCCGGGTAGGGAGATCCATGTCTTTGCACCCATTCTGTAGATTGAGTGCAACGATGTGTGATATCGCGTCTACGGCTGTCGTTGAGCACACCACCGTCATCCTCCGTACAGACCACTGCAATCTACGCCAAGGGAAGACGGGAGACCTCACATGGGCACAGGGCGCAAGACAACAACCATGAAGAGGGCAGACGCAACCTATCTACTACTCCAATCCACCACCATCATATACCATGGTCCCAGCAATCATCATTTACGCATGTCCCCCACTGTACTCTATCTCAATACTCCTCGCGTACACACATCTAGATCGGCTCGTCCCGCGGCTCAATCAGCACCTCGTTGACAGCCACGTGCTCCGGCTGGCAGACGGCATACACAATCGCCCCGGCCACGTCCTCCGGCTCCAGCACCTTGGCCCCCGTCGGCTCCCCAAACTTCTTGAGCGCCTCCGCGTCCGTCGACATGCTCAGCAGGTCCGTCTTGACGTTGCCCGGCTGGATCCCCGTCACTCGGAGCCCCGTCCCCGCCGTCTCCAGCCGCAGCGACTGCAGAGTCGCCTCCACGAAGAACTTGGACGCCGAGTACACGCCCAGGCCGGGGAACACCTTGCGCGCCGCGTCTGACGAGATGGCCACCACATGGCCCCCGCCCCGCGCCAGCATCCCCGGCACCGTCGAAGACAGGCAGTGCAGGAGGCCCTTGCAGTTCACGTCCACCGTCCGCTCCCACTCGTCCGTCTGGCAGTTGGCCATCATGGTAAAGTACATGACGCCCGCGCAGCTCACCAGGATGTCCACCGGGCCCAGCTGCTCCGCCGTCGTCCGCAGCAGTGACTCTACGTCCGCCTTCTTGGTCACGTCCGTCTTGTGCACCAGCACCTTGACGTGATACTGCGCGAGATCTTTCTTGATCTTCTCCAGCTCCTCGAGCCGGCGTGCTGCAATCGCAACGTGCGCGCCCTCTCTCGCCAGACCAGCTGCCACGGCAGCGCCAATGCCCGACGACGCGCCCGTGATGACAGCAACCTTGTCGGCCAGGCGTCCCTTGCGCGCCGGTCTTGTCACAGCGGTGCCGTTTGTGTGCAGACGCTTAGGAGGTCGGGGCAGCCAGCCACGAGCGTAGAAGTGGCGGGTATACGTCTCCAACAGGGCATTGTCAACGTGCGGCCTCTTCACACCATAGAGCTCCAGCGTCTTCTGCGTCGCGCCATCCTTGAGCGCAATCACAGACTGCAGGCCGTGCTCGGTCGGCATGCCGCCCTTGAGAATGTCCACCGTAAAGGGCTCGTCGCCGTGTCCACTGCCGCGACGCTCCCGCCAGGTCGCCACCCACTCGGCCCAGGGCACGCGTTTGGTCGGGTACCCAAGCTCGCTCAGCTTGTCGAACAGCACGCTCATCGGGAGAGGCTTCTCGTCGCCAAAGTGGTACACGATCTGGTCGTTGCTGCTGTCGTGGTCGCACAACGTGACGATGCCCCCGCTGACATAGTCCACGGGCGCCATCTCGGCGTACCACCCGTCCACCTCGGGCGCGATGCCCAGATGCAGCGACTCGACAATGATCGCGTTCATCAGATCGTACGTGTTGGTCGCGCCCGTCGTGCTGTGTCCGCTGATCGTGCCGGGACGGTACACCCGCACGGGGATCCCTCGCTTGCCCGCCTCGTAGACGAGCTTCTCGGCCACCCACTTTGTCTGGCCGTACCCGTCTTCGAGCTTGGTCGGCACATCCTCAATCGGAATCGTCGAATCCTCCGGCCAGCCCTCCACGGACGCGGGGAGCACACCGTTGGTCGAGACGTGGTGCACCGTGGCGCCACCGCGCGAGGCGAGACGCAGGATCTCGCGCGTGCCGCGCACGTTGGCGTTGCGGAGGGCCGCGTACGGATACACCAGGTTGACGGTGGCCGCCGCGTGCACAATGACCTGCACGCGCGTCGCCAGCTCCTCAAAGGCCTCAGGCGACAGACCTAGTCGCTTGCGTGCCAGGTTGCCCGCCACAATCTCGATGCGGTCCAGGTCCGAGTCGTCCCAGATACCCAGGTCGATCAGATTTTTCCGTATGCGCGCCATGCCCGCGGGGCGGCAGTCGTCCGTCGGCTCCGTGAAGCGCACCATGCAGATGATGCGCGCCGACGTCTTCTCCAGCAGCGACTTGAGCAAAAAGGCGCCCAGGTAACCCGTGGCGCCGGTCAGGAGGACGCTGTCCGCGTCACTCAACTTCTGGAACGCGCTGCCGGTTGTCGTGATCTCCTCGGGCAAGACAGAGTCTTCCTTGAGCACGGTCGGCAGGTCCGCCTGGACGGCGGCCGTGTGACCATCGCGTGCGGCTGTGATGGCCTCCAGGTGGCCCTCAAGGGTGGGGTTGCCGGCCAGCGGGCCCAATGGCACGGGGAAGCCAAAGGCTTGAGAGAAGCGGCTCGCGAGCTCGGCCAGGATGAGGGAGTGGCCTCCGAGGTCGAAGAAGTCGTGCTTGGGCGTGATGCTCGTGGCGGGGATGTTGAGCGACGCCGCCCAGATCTTGACAATGGTCTCCATCTTGATCTTGGTGTTTTGCTCCGTCGCGCGCCCGTTGGTTGTCGGCGACTTGGGCGACGGCGGCGGCGGCAGCCCCTTTAGGTCGATCTTGCCAGACACGTCGTGCGTGGGCAGCTTGTCGACCTCCACCCACAGGGGCGGGATCATGTAATGGGCCAGGTGCGCCGACAGGGCACGGCGGGCCACGGGGCTGTAGCCCGACTCGTCGACCATGAGGACCGTTCTGCCGCGTGGCTCGTCCTTTTCGGACACGACGTAGGCGACGAGCTGCCTGGAGAGGCCCTCGCCGTGCGCGACAATGGCGCAGTCACGGACGGCCAGGTGCTTCACAATGGCCGTCTCGACAGCGGCGGGCTGGACCGTGTAGCCTCTCGTCTTGATCATGCCACCGACTCGGCCCGTAATCTCCAGTAGGCCGTCGGATGTGATCCTAGCCGTGTCGCCCGTTCTGTACATCCTCGCACCTCTTATCCTGCTGAACGGGTCGGGCTGGAATGCCGCCGCCGTCGTCTCAGGCAGGTTCAGGTAGCCACGGGCCAGCAGATCTCCTCCGACGTACAACTCGCCGCTCACGCCAGGGGGGACACGGTTGCCAGCCTCATCCAGGATGTAGGTGCGGTGAGGGTCCACGGGCGATCCGACGGGGCAAACGCTCACATTGTAGTCGACAAATTTGCTAATCTCGCCCGCCGCCACCTCGTGCGTCTCGCTGGCGCTGTAGACGTTGAAGATGCGCGTGCCCGGCAGAGCCGCCAGGGCCCGCCTGCACAGGTCCGTAGTGACAACCTCGCCATTGAGCCACAGGCTCTTGAGCTTGGGCAGCTTCTCGCCGAGCTCGGGGTGTCTCAAGAGGACCGTCGCGAGCAGCGTCGGTGTCATGAGGGTGTCTGTAATGTCCTTGTCTCGCAGCAGCTCGGTCAGCGCCTGCGGATCGTAGCTCACGCAGTCCGGCACGGCCACCACCGTGGCGCCCCGCAGCAGCGGCCGGAGGATCTCCCAGACGAAGAAGACGTTGCAGGCCACGCGGTCACCGGGGCCCAGGTCGCGCAGGTGGAAGCGAGCATCGTAGGAGCGCACGGCCGCGCGGTGCTCGTTGGCGATGCCCTTGGGACGCCCCGTGGTGCCAGACGAGTAGGAGACAAAGGCCAGCCTCTCAATGTCGTCCTCGGACGGGAGGGGTTCCCTCGTGGCAAGGTCGACGTGCTCGCCCTCGTCGTCGGCCGCCTTGGCATCCACGACGATGAGCGGCACCTGGCTCTTCACGTGACTGGCATGCGCCTGCCTCGTGATGATGACGGCCGGTTTCGCGTCGTCAATCACGTCACGCAGCAGCGCGCTCGGATACGCCAGCTCGAGCACGAGGAAGGCACCACCAGCGCGCAGTGCCGCGAGGCAGGCGACCACGTAATCGGCACTGCGGCCCATGAGGACGCCGACAAGGTCATCACGGCCCACGCCCCGGCGCCGGAGGCGGTCTGCGAGCGCCCATGTCTCGCTGTCCAGCTCGGCATAGGTCAATGTGCGGCTCTCGTCTTCGAGCGCGGGCGCGTTGGGCGTCGACTGAGCCTGCTGCTCGAATTGTGACACGAGGTCCTTGTGGATGTCGAGGATGGCCATTTCCCTTTCTCTTTTTTCTCTTTTTTTCTCTCTTCTTCTTTTTCGTCTTCCTCTGGATCTACACCCCCCTTGAAGCTTCTGGTGATGTTACTGGTCCAGTCCGTCCGGTGGAGTAGTCCCGGTTCTGCAGGTATCGTGTCCAGACCCTAGCAAGCAACGTGAAATGATTCAATAGTGCGCAACCCGAGGACGCGTTGATTAGTATCTTGGATAGATCGGGTTTGAAAAAAGGTGAATGGACAGGTCGGGCAAGAGAGCACGAGGACAGGCACCCGGGTCCTTTTTATCTGCTCTCCCGTCTCGCTTTCCATGCTCTTCCATGTACCTAGCGCCCCTGAACCCGATGGACCAGCTTGTCGTCCATCTCCAATTGTTTTCGCGGGTTTGTCCCCATTTGAAGCTAAATTCGCACAACCCGCATCACGTTCGCCTCGCTTCGCCTTGTCGACCCGCCCCCTCCTTCATCATCGGCCATTCACCACGTCGTCACCTCCCACCACGCCCCAAGCCTCGCCTGCGAGACGTCCCGAGCATCCTGCGATCTTGGGGGGCTCTCAGGCTTCACTGCGCCCTGTAAATCAAGGTTCCAACGGCACCCCATCTCCATACGGTCCCCATCCCATTCCAATCATGGCGCGGTGCCCCTCCAACCTTTAGGTGGGTAGGAGGGTCGCACTCCACGGGAGGATGCGGTTGGCTCTCCTGGCTCCTCGGACCGTCGCTATCGAGATCATGGATTCCTCGATTGCTTCGCGACGACCCGTGGCAGCACGCCGCAGGAGGTTCATTTCCATTCGACCGGATCAGGTTCGCCGGGACTTTTCTCCGGCTCTTCTTCTGCTACACGTACGTAGTACTGCGTCCAGTACACGTCATAGTGGTGGTCAAGGTGGGGGTTCCCGCGATGGCCAACTTGGTGGGACAGGACATGATCGCTGCGTTCGTACGTGGCGCATCTGCCATTGCCGTTGCGGAATCCGGTTTCGGATGCCAGGCACTTTGTTAACACAGACGTCCAAAAGCCCATCCTGCCACCTGGCATTCGTCGTCCTCTCCAAAAGCATGATGATGCACATCGGTCCCCCGTGCTCGGAGTATAGGGCTCAACAGCACTGGGGACCCCTACGCCAAGCGCTGCCAAGCTAAAGAACTCTCAACAAAATCTGGCTGCACCACAACAACAGTGTTTGCATGTGATTCTGCAAGGGCGACGTGCCAAGTGATCCGATCTTGCAACAAGATCGCCACGTGAGATTTCTTGCACAGCAAGTCGTGACCGGGTGATTTCCGTCACTTGCTCGCGGGTACAATAACGCTTCAATTGAACTGATCATGACGCTACGAACAATGGTCGCCATCATCGACGACAGGCCCCTGCCTCCCTATTTCTCGTTGTGCGACAGATCAACCTCCTCCAGGGGCACCACCTTGGACCGCGTCCACAGCTTGGCCCCGCCGTAGAGGACGACAAAGATGATGATGCTAATGTAGTTGGTGAAAAAGGCGCTCGTCTCCCACTTGATAAACACCTGGAAGCCGCTCGTGAGGGCAATGAGCGAGCTGAAGAAGAGGCCGAACCAGGAAAAGTACGGCTGAAAGGGGGCCTTGTACGGCAGGTCGTCGCGCGAGATACCCTTGTACTTGAGGGCCTCCATGAAGCGCAGGTGGGCAATGTTGGTCAGGGCCCAGCAGATGAGGCCGGCCACGGTGACAATGGCGAGGAACCAGTCAAAGACGACGGCGCCGCCCGCCCCCAGGTTCATGAACGCGAGCAGCCCGACGGCCGAGCAGACGCCGACGGCGTAGTAGGGGATGCCCCACTTGTTGCTGCGCTTGAAGAACTTGGGGGCGTGACCGCCGTCGGCCAGCGACACGAGGATGCGGCTGCTCGAGTAGACGTTGGAGTTGGCGGCCGAGAGGACGGCGGTGAGCAGGACGGCGTTGATAATGTCGGGCAGCACGGGGATGCCCGCGAGGCGGACGACGACGACGAGGGGCGAGGCAGACGCGTCCTTGGCGTTGCTCATGAGCTGCGGCTCGTCATAGGGGATGTTGAGGCCGAGGAAGAAGACGGTGGAGATGAAGAGGGTGAAGATGCCCCAGAACGTCCAGCGGATGGCCGAGGGGATCGTCTTGCGGGGGTTCAGCGTCTCGCCGGCGGCGATACCCACAAGCTCCGTGCCCTGGAAACTGAAGCCGGCGGTGACGAGGACGGACCAAAAGGACACAAACTTGCCGAGCGCCGGCTTGGAGTCGACGATAATGTCGTCCGGCTTGAAGGCGCCGGGGCTGTGCCAGTACTTGAAGCCGAGGTAGCCCTGGTCGCCGACACCCGCGTTGATGCAGATGGAGAGGATGACGAAGCCGACAATCGTAACGACCTTGATGCTGGCGAGGTACATTTCAATCTCGGCAAAGATCTTGGCGGGCAGGAAGTTGATGACGGTGAAGATGACCCAGAAGACGGCGATGAAGATGGCGACGCTGAGGCTTTTGTTCCAGTACTGGATGATGAGGCCGGCGGCGTTGAGCTCGAGCGCAAAGGTGAGCGCCCAGCTCAGCCAGTAGACCCAGCCCATGGCGAGACCCAGCGAGGGATCGACGAAGCGCGTCGCGTAGGTGGTGAAGGCGCCGGCCACGGGCACGTAGGTGGCCATCTCGCTGAGGGAGATCATGACCGAGTACACCACGGCACCGACAAAGGCAAAGGCGATCAGGAGCGCGGCAGGCCCCGCGGATCCCAGGGCACCTCCCGTGCCCAGGAACAGGCCTGTGCCGACGGTGCCGCCGATGGCGATGAACTGCAGATGGCGACTCGTGAGCGTGCGCTCCAGGCCTGTGTGAGAGGAGAGCGCCTCGACATCGTCGGGGTTGGGTGCGGCCTCGTTGGGCACAGCCGGCGCCTCCGCGGATGTCGTCTTGGACCCAAAGAGCGAGGCGACCTTTTCGTTCAGCTCAGGCATGGTGGCGGGTGACGTTGACAGTGTCGAGGTCGGCGGGTTCGAGACAGTCGAGGACAGACGGGGACTGGGTCGTGATTGTCCGGGGGAGGGAGGAGGTGAGGCACGCAATGTTGGCCGACAAGACAGGTTTTCAATGTCCGTCGCGTGGAGTTCTCCTCACTGATGATGGTGATTACCTTTGGTGTTCCTTTCCTGGGTAAGCTGTGAGCTTGGGGGGGCGGTGGGAGGCTATCACGACTTATACCTCGCCCCAGCCCTCGAAAATTTCTCTCGCGCGTGGCCGCCCATGGTCCGTGGTCCGTGGGGACCCGTGGTGCCTGGGTCATGTTTGTGCTGGCCCATAATTTGCTCTTCCAAGCAGCGCCATCACGGAGCCCACGATGGAGTCGGAGAAAGCTCTTCATGGTGCGTAGTGGTTTCGGCCCGTCACTCGGATTTGGCGCGGTCCTACACCCGCGCTCTGCATACGTTAGAAAAGACAAAAAAAAAAAAGGAAGGAATTGTGGGCACCGGGCCCGTCCAACGTTAGATCGGAGTCCATCTCTAACCGAGTAGCTTCTAGCCTCCATGTCCGGCTGCTGGTGGTTCCTCGACGCGAGAAAATTTCCTTTCCCGGCGCAAAGCGCTGAGGTGCAGGCGTCTCATTTGCCGCCACGGGTGGCCAAGGCCAAGTGCCGCAGGTCGAGTCAATCAACGACCGGCATCGGGAGAGACCGCTACATGTAGCCATGAGCAATCATTTTAGCCTTCTCGCGAGTTTCGCCAACTCCGAGCGCCATCGTCACTCCCAGAGACCCATCATCGGTGTAGGAGCCAATGTGACTCAGGCAAGCCATAGTCATCTCGCATTTGGTGTGTCTGGTTGGATAACCTGCTGCGCGTGCTGAGCGACACACAAGCAACCACCAAAGCGCCTGCCACCTTGCATCCATCCCCCATCGTCGCCAGCTCCAGTCGTCTCTCTGTGACGGTTTGGCGTAAAACTGTTCGGGTCCCAGGCGTACTTCCGCGACGTTGCACGACGGTTCAGATCTGCGCCAGACGAAGCCGGATGGCAATCCAAGACAATCAGATTGCAGTTCAAGACGATCGCGGGACCAACCGGCATGCCCAAACAAGCCAGAGCAAGAGGTCGCGTGACCCGCGGCTGCCTTGTGTAACAACGACAAGTGTCGAGGTGGCTCCTGCCTCGTAGCGGTCAACCATCAGATGGCTCCCCGCTCTGCAAGGCGGCATCTGTCCATTGGGGTTCTGATCCTATCATAAGGTACCGAAGCGTGAGCCTTATCGACTGGACCATCGCCTGTTGTCTAATGGCTGCCCACAGCCGCCTTCACCAGGCCCGTCTCATCGTGGACTGGCTGAGACGACTGGACTGGACTCTGCTGCATCAGCAAAATTTCTGCCTGACCACCAGGTCTCACAGATCCATTCCCCGCATGGCCATCCTCAAGCTAGACGTTTCACTCGCCCAGGACCGGAGGGTTGACATGCCCTTCACGATCCTCCTCCAAAGCACCCAGCCTTCCTCTGCCATCACACTCTGCGAAGTGAACTGACCATTGTGACAACTCGTCGCCGCCATCTTATCCCCTACCTTGCTCAACGACGCACTCAAAGTACTCTTCCTGCGGAGACATGACCCCCGAAAAGCCGGGGGAAACTGATGGAGAGCAGTGCGTACACCATGACCCCTGGCCTACGCTGGTCGACGGCCAGCACTGGGATGGCACCGGCCTTCTCACCCGCGTCCATCAGCAGCAGAGCCCCTTTGGCAGTCACTTCAACGTCAAGGCGCTCATCCACGAGATTGAGCAGGCCCTCGGCGCGACCATTGAGGACGTCCCGCTCGTCACCCACGGCGCCAACCACTTTGGCTTCCGCGTCCGTCTTCATGACCAGCGCATCATCGTGGCGCGCGTCTCGCGCGGTGACCTGAACAAGACTGGGTTCGACGCGCATGCCATGGTTGCACAGATGATGCATGACCGTTTCGAGATCGACGCGTACGATGTCTTGTCGGTTTTGGGGTACCCCTTTGACTGCCGCCCTCTGCATCATCGGGACCCCATTCGCTCGGGCAGTGATTTCTATCAGACGAATCAAGGTCGACGACTGTTTCTGTTCCAGAAAGCCGGCGGCTTCACGTACGACTATCCAAGATGGAGAATCTTAAACACCCGTCAGAAGGTATGCCTCGACTCCGACCGCGAGGGCGCAGCTTCTCACCCTGCCTAGATCACCCTCCTGACTCGATGCGCGCGGGCTGCGGCCGCCGTATTCCACCTCCAGCTCCCCGAGACATTCTGCTCCAACTAGGTGTGGGAGCGAAGTCTTGGGAAGCCCATGGAAGACTGCCCGATCACCATCCAGCCGAGCCGCGCATTCTGCATCGCCCTCTTGACAGCCAAGATCGAGGCCGCTCTGGGTCACCGCGGCGGAGATATCGATCTGGACAAGGGGTTTCACTCGCTCACTCCCGAAATGGAGGCGGCGCGAGAGGCGCTCCTCCGCTTGGTCCCCCGCGTCCTGCCCCGGTCGACGACTCGGCTCTCAGAGGAGAAGATGTACCGTTTCGTGCTCGACCACGGTGATTTTGGCGTGCACAACATGACAATTGACAAGGACGAGACGCGTCAACCATACGTCACCTCGGTGTACGACTGGGAGGGCGGCAGCGTGGTGCCCGCCATCCTGTCGGAGCCCAAGATGGTGACCACTGTCGACCTTGTCATCGATGGAAGAGGCAAGCCCTCCATCAGCCGCTGGGGCGACGGTGACACGCCCAACAAGATGGCCCAGTATAGGAGGTGGACCAAACACTACTACAAGGTTTGTGCAGCTCTTGGTTCAGCCTTCATGGCTAATGTTTGGTTCAAGGTCCTGTTCGCCGAAGCCCCTGACTACAAGCGCATCATCCATGCCGGCCTCGATGCACGCCGCATCTGGTTCGGCTTGAGAGATGGTCGGGCGGCCAGTAATCCGGACGCATACTTCGAGCAGCTTGGGGGCTGGGCCAGAAAGAGGAATCGCGAGCTGGATCCGGAGTTTGACTGGATGGGCATGATCTGCGCTCGCTCTGTTGCCAGGGATCGCAAGGCCGAGATGGCCATGGCCGGAGTCGGGAAACAACAGTTGGGTAAGAGCGGCACTGATCTCAAGAGTCAAATTGACGATGCATCTTGACAGATCTCAGCATGCAAGCTCAATACTACATAGCACCCTGAAGACAACTGTATTAGAGCATCTTGCCAGAGCATGTGAATTAGACGCGTGTACCGAAGTCATGTCTAACTATTGTTGATAATGGAGCATCGCCAACAAAGTGTAGGGTAGCTGAGATCGATACGCGTGTACTGCAGCCCGGCCCGCACGAGGTGCCACTGAAATGCCGGATGCGGCAGCAAGCTTTTACCATTCACACGACTCACTTCAGGTGCTGACTGGGCTAGGTACGGACACTATATCTTGGAAAGCCTCTGACCATGACACACGAGCGAGAACAGAAAGGGATGCGCCTCTCCATCCTGACTCGTGTGAGAATATGCTTAATGAAGACTTACGCGTCGTTAGGTCCGACTCTTCTTATTTTGTGCGAATCGTGCCGGCGCCCAGAGTCGCCAAGATCAGGCCCTGCGGCAGCAGAGTCTACTGCGATTGGCCAATCGCAATCCGAGTCCCAGTTCAAGTGGAGTCACGGCGATCTCAGAATCCAGAGTCCACGCATCATCATCGACAGAAATACCGGCACATGAAGCCATGGCCAAACTGATGGAAAAGCTCCCCACCAGCAGCCTCATTTTGTCGTGACTGCGTGCGACCAGCGCACTTCTTGTGAGTTAGATGACCTCACGCCAGCAAACCAGGCTAACGTTAGTAGCTCACGGCAAGCGTGCTGCCCGTTCCCGGACACTATTGGTGCGCGCAAGCTACCTACTTACTGGCCGCCAAGCTGAACGCGCGCGCTCGAGACTTTCCCGAGTCTTGACGCCCATTCTTCATTTTATCCCCCCCTCTGATCGGTCGACTTCAGTCGCCCTCGCTACCACAGCATCGCTGACCCAGCATCGTCTAAAGTAGTCGTCCAGTCGCGACCATGGGCGAGGCTGACAGCTACTACAATCCCCAGCAGGGCAACGGGCCCCAGCAGTACTACCAACCGCAGCAGCCATACCAGCAGCAGCCGCCGCCGCCGCCGCCGCCGCCGCCGCAGCAGGGATACAACCAGAGTTATCAACAACCTCCTCATCCCCCCCAGAATGGACATCAGGTGCCGCCCAACCCCAACGCCGGATTCAACGGCGAAGTCGACGAGAAGAACGACTTCGAGCAGCAGTTCAAGATTGAGAAGCCAAAGTGGAACGACTGGTGGGCTGGTGTCCTGGTACGTGAAGCACCAAACAATAAGGACGGGAAGCGCAGTGGTCTGATGCTAACGTTACAACCGAATAGCTGATCCTCTTCTTCGCTGGCTTCGTCGTCGTCTCGGCATTCTCGTTGTACAGATACTCCAGCCATCGCGACGTCTACGGTACTGGCATCGGCACTGGCACCAGCACCTTTTCGCTTGACACGGGCACCATCATCCTCTTTGCCTTTGTGCTCGTCGTCGCACTCGTCCTCGGATTTGGCTACCTGGCGCTGGCCAGAACCTTTCCGAAGCAGTTCATCTGGGTCACGGGCATCCTCAACATCGTCTTCGCCCTCGGCACGGCCATTTTCTATCTGATCAGGAAGTACTGGAGTGCTGGCATCGTCTTCCTCATCTTTGCCGCCTTCATGGCCTTTTGCTTCTACACCTGGATCTCCCGCATCCCCTTCGCCGCCCTCATGCTGAAGACGAGCGTGGACGTGAGCAGGAAGTACGGCCACACCTACATTGTCAGCTTCGTGGGCGGCCTCGTCGCCGCCGCCATCTCCGCCTGGTTCTCCGTCACACTAGTCGCCATCTACACAGCCTACTCGCCGGCGGACAACAACCCGAGCTGCGCGAACGGTGGTTGCAGCCAGGCCAAGCTCATTGGCCTGATCGCCTTTGTCACCTTCACCATGTACTGGGTGTCGGAATGGATCAAGAACACGATCCACGTCATCATCGCCGGCATCTATGGCTCTTGGTACTTTAACCCGCACCACCCTGCCAAGGGCGCGACGCGTGGCGCCACCAAGAGGGCCCTGACCTACAGCTTTGGCTCCGTCAGCCTGGGCAGCCTGTTCCTGGCCATCATCCAGTTCCTGCGCATGATCTGCTCCGTGGCCAGGAGTCAAGCAGCCCAGGAGGGCGGCGTCGGTGGAGCCATTGGATACGTCGTATTCTGCATCCTGGGCTGCATCATCTCCATCCTGCAGTGGGCCGCCGAGTTCTTCAACAAATACGCCTTTGTGCACATTGCGCTCTACGGCAAGGCCTACTTTGCCGCGGCCAAGGACACTTGGAAGATGGTCAAGGACCGTGGTATCGATGCCCTGATCAATGTAAGGACGGCTTGCCAACCAAAAGAGCGTCCATCAGCTAACATGACCGCAGGACTGCCTCATCTCGCCCGTCGTCTCCTTTGGTGGTCTCTTCGTGGCCTATGCGTGCGCATTGCTGGCTTACCTCTACCTCCTGTTCAAGGACCCCCCTTACAACAGCGAGGGGCAGTACACGGCCGTGGTCCTCGCCTTTTCGTTCCTCATTGGCATGCAGATCACCCTGATTATCACCCAGCCTCTCGTCAGTGGCATCAACACCATCTTCGTCGCCGCTGGCTGGGACCCCCAGGTCCTGTACCGCGAGCACCCCGAGCTCTACGCCGAGATGTGCAAGGTGTACCCCAAGGTCCAGCAGGTCATTCGGGACCGTTGAGCCTCAGAGATGTTTGTGGGTGGGCGGAGTTCGGGCGCTAGATTCTGGCCTGTTCGAAAGCCACGTTGGAAAGTGCTTCTTAGTTAGATTGTCCCTTAAAAGTCCCGTTCGCAAGGGCATCAATGATATTGCACCATCTGGACCCCGTGATATTGCGCCATCTGGGCCTCCCTCTGTCCGCATCACCACCCCTGGCGCGCTCAGGACCTGCCCGTTTCAAAGGGAAGAGATCCTTGTCTCTGTTCACTGTCATTCCTCCGCCGCTGTGTTGCGGAGAAGCCCGGTGTTGATGGGCGCTGTTCGTGATACTGCGACGCGAGCACGCCACCGCATGTCATTATCCCGAACCGCCACTGTTAGTGTCGATCACTCGCAACTACAAAAGGAGAGGTCGCAGTCATGAGGCCCAAGGTCGTTTGAACGAATTTCATTCAGACACTAGTTAATCGCTTCATACAATGGCTCCCGCCGCCCTGGTATACGACGACCAGCCCATCGAGGCCGTCCAGGCTGGCAAGTTTGGGAACAACGAGGCTCCCACCTCCGTCTTCCCCGATGGCATCCGTACCTCGGGCCAGCATCCACCTCTCTACGACCTGTTGAAGCCGTACGAGGAGTTCCCCACGGAGATCACGGGCCCGACTGTGTGGGAGAAGAAGGACTACCAAGAGCAGCCGGAAAAGTGGACTCACCACTTCAGCGAGGACGAGATCCAGGAGCTGAGCGAGGCTGCCGATCGCTTCATAGCCAACGGCATCCCCCTGAACGGCATCGCCAAGGCACGTCTTGGACTCACCCTCTTGTCTGGCGATGGATGGCTGACGAGGCAGAGCAACTTCCCCCTCCCTAAGCTGAGCAAGCTTCTCGGTGCCCTTCGCGCAGACCTTCTCGACGGCAAGGGTTTCATCCTCTTCAAGGGCTTCCCAGCCGACAGATGGGGTCCCGAAAAGAACGCCGTCGCCTACATGGGTCTCGGCACCTACCTCGGCTACTTCCTCTCGCAGAACGGCCGCGGCCACGTCCTCGGACACGTCAAGGACGTGGGCGACGACCCCTCGCAGATCGACAAGGTGCGCATCTACCGGACCAAGGCGCGGCAGTACTTTCACGCCGACGACGGTGACATTGTCGGCCTCCTGTGCGTGCACCGCGCCCTCGAGGGCGGTGAGAGCGACATTGTTAGCTCCCACGCCGTCTGGAACGCCCTCCAGCGGAACCACCCAGACGTGGCCCGGACGCTCACGGAGCCTACATGGTACTTTGACCGCAAGGGCGAGGTCTCGGACGGCCAAGATCAGTGGACGCGCCAGCCTGTCGTGTACATGGAGAACGTGCCCGCTCGCTCCAACCCGCGCGTCTACACAAAGTGGGATCCGCACTACGTCCGCAGCCTGACACGCTTCTCGGACGTCGGCGCGATCCCACCGCTCAGCGAGAGGCAGATTCACGCCCTCGAGACGCTGGAGCAGACGTGTCGCGACCTGGCCCTGCACATGGCGCTCGAGGTGGGTGACATTCAGTTTGTGAGCAACGCGCACCTCCTGCACTCGAGGACGGCGTATACGGACCACCCGCCACCAGCACCGAGGCGGCATTTGCTCCGCCTGTGGCTTTCGACGCCCGAGACGGAAGGCGGCTGGGCGCTGCCAATGCCTGACTCCAAGGAGAAGAAGCGTGGTGGCGTGCAGGTGAATAATACGCCACCGAGGGCGCCCCTGGATGCCGAGTAGAGTATGAGGTAGCATGCATAGTAATGGGATTAATGAATACCAGCAAGGCACAATGAATACCACAAATTTATCCTATGCTAGTATCAACGCGTATGATGAGATAGATATACCAAGTACTTGCCCGTAACCGTACCCAAGTCCCGGCGCCGTGGTCCTCCAGCGCCAAACTAATTAACAACCAAATACACGTGCCCGAGCGCCGCCCATTCTGTACACCGAGCAAGCAGATTGCCAATGTCTGATTATCCAACCTTCACTCATTGCTCGTCCTGCTTCTTCCCCTCCTCGACGGGCACCACCTGGAACCCAGTCGCATGACCCTGCACGCCGTCCCACAGATCGGTGGGTAAGAACTCGCCAACATCAGCGCGAAAGGCCTCGCGCGCCTCCGCATCCAACATAAGCAGCTTGTCCACGCTTTCCTGGGCTTTGCGCCATATGCTCTGGATCTTGTCCTCAACGCCCCTGCGACGCTCCACCTCGAGCACGAGACCGTCGTACGCTGACGAGTACCGCTCATAGAACTCGCGGAGCTGCTTCATCTCGTCCAATTTCCCGTGGACGACGTCCTTCTCCAGATCCCACCGTTGGCGGAAATGCTCCTCAGCAGCGAGGTAGGCGCCAAGGCGGTCGCCAATCTCGCCAATGGCCGAGTACGCCGCGAGTGTGTTGGCGTGGATCGCCTTGGCGGTCGCGCGCTCCTCGTCCATCGCGTGCACATCCTGCTCAATGGCCGCAAAGTTGTCCTGAATGTCCTTGACCACGTCGTCCACCTCGGCGGCGTCCTGCACGACGACCTTGAGCATTTCAGCCCTGTCCTCGGCCGTCTTGGGCTCCAGGTCCGAGTCATCCTGCTCGGCTATCACGCCAGAGATGGACACGCCGTCTGGGCCCGGTGCCTCGGCTGCTTTGCGCCTCGCGAGGGCCGCGGCCCCCTCCGTCGTGCGGATGGCGGTCACGCACATGTCAAAGTGGTTCGTCAGGTCAGAGAGACACTGAGCCATGTTGGCGGACCGCTCCATCAGGGCCGCCAAGCGATCCGTTCGTTCTTCTGTTGCCAGGTCGACCTCGGCCGGCGCCTCCTGCATGAGTTTCTTGAGGTTGCGAATGTCCGTGTCGAACCGCAAGAGGTCCCCATCAAAAGACTGTTGGATACTCTGCAGCTCTTCGATGCTCTTCTTCAGGGCCTCGCGCAGCCCATCGACGCTTTCCACGTCAAGAAAGTCGAGTAGACTGCGCGTCTCCTCGCCTTTCGGTCGCAGGACGCTCTTGACACTGGTGCTCCGCAGCATGCCCATGGTCTTGTCGAGCGCGCCGTCCGTCTCGTCCATGGCGCGTATCAGGTTCTTGAAGTCGTTGCTCGCCCAGTCGTATGTTCCCTGAAAGGTCCTCCTAAGGCGCACGAGAATGGTGGCCGCATCAGCGATGCTGGCGCGCAGGAAGCGGGACTGGGTGGCGAGGATGGCGCTGTCCTCGTGGAGAGTGCGCGCGGTGTTGGTCAGCGTGTGGCCGTGTAGGACGAGGGTCATGCTGGAGAGGGCGCGTTTGGCGGCGAGCAGGTAGTTGACGAGGTCATCGGTCGAGGCAGTTGCGTCGGCCGTCGAGGTCCGTGGGGAGCGTTGTCGGTGGTGGGAGGATGAAGAGGGTGCTTTGAGAGAGGCTGACGACGAGTGCTGGCTCCGTCGGGAGGAGGCTGATGATGAGGCTGCCATGATGGACTCGATAGAGGTGTCCTGGGAGCCGATGCTGATAGATAAGAGTGTGTCGAGGAAAGATATCGTGAGGATGGATGTATGGTCGTGGTGTAGGCTCAATCGCCGAGGAACGACATGGTGACTGGCGAAGCCCTGCGCGAGTCGTGATCTGATGGAAGAATAGTGGTGAAAACTTACTATGGATGGGATGGAAGAGAAAGGCAGACAATGAGGAAAAAGGAAGAACAGGGGAAGGAAGTGAGGCTGGCAGGCAGTGTTGGCTCCGGTGACGGTCGTGGTCAACGGTCGACTTAATGGGGTGGTGGTGCCTGCCTGCCTGCCTGCCTGCCTGCCTGCCTGCCTGCACCTGCATAAGGCAAGGTTAGCGCAGAAGGTGCAAGCGTAGCGCCGATTAGATAAGATACGGTTTCGGTGGTCGATAAGCCTTCGCTGGCGTCATTTGTTGACACTGCCTCACCGCCATCATGCTCTATACCTTTATCTAGGTAATCATTTCATCGCCAGCCACGCAAGAAACACTTTGTGTCGGTTAATGAATCATTGGAAACCACAGTAAGGTCTGTCTAGTCTGATGGCGACAGAAACATCAATAGCTCTCGCAACGCCCGCTTATCCATCCAACTCTCATGTATACGGAATTAATCTATAACATCAGTCTAGGTTCACAAACACGCCGTCATCGCAAAGCAGTCTCTCTATCCCAGAGTCTCAGTCTACAGTCTCAGTCTATAGTCTCAGTCTCTCAAATTTGTTGTCCCAGTCGATAAGCCGGGTAACGGCAGGTGTGCTCGTACCAGACGACGACACCGACTTGACGTTTATGTAGTCGCGAACGGCACCGTTGCTCTCGCCAGGTGTGAGCACTTTGCCGTCCCGGTCTACAACGGATGCGTAACCAGCACCGGTCTTGGCATCAGTGCGCGACCCACCAGCGTTGGCCTGCGCATTGTCGAGGTCTCCCGCACCGCGCTCGCCCATGCCCCCCTCGAGGAGTTCGCCGCCCTCGATGACGGTGCGCAGCTCGAGCTGGGCGTCCTTGGAGTAGACGCGGATCCCGACGATGCAGATCGCGTTCCAAGGCTCCGGCATCTTCTCTTCCTCGCTGTCGTAGTCGTCCTTGGGCTGGGGCGCAGGCCCGGGAGCCAGACGGGGCTTGCGAATCATGTCGTCGCTGCTGTAGACTTCATCCCAGTCATCCACGGGCGAGTCGGATGAGTCGTCGCCCGAGTCGTACTTTGGACGCTGTCGGGCAGGCTGCTTGATCTCAGGCTCGGGAGCAGGCGCAGGAGGAGCGCCACTGACATCGGGAACATTCTGCTTCTGTTCCTCAGATGAGGCGGGAACGGACTTGTCCGACTTGGGCGTAAACGATGGGGTGCCGCTCGACTCGGAACCAAGCTTGTCATACGACTTTTCATCAGCACCAGCATCGTCGCTCTCATCGTCTGCCTCGTCACCGGCCTTGTCGACAGTCTCGGCAACTGCTGTCGCCACCGCCTTCTCTTCCGCGTGTTTGGCCTCGCGCGCCTGCCTGGCGGCCTCTTCAGCCTCGTCATCGAGCCTCTGCTGCTCAGTTTCCCAAGCTTCACGTCGCTTTATCTTCTTCTGACTGTTCTTGGCCACCTGCTGGCGACTGGCCTCCCTGTTAAGGTGGCGCTTCTCCCAGTTGCGGCGGCGCTCCTTCATTCGGCAGTCAGAAGCCTTCTTCTGCTCACGCTTGCGGCGGACCCTGGCCACCTTGTTCATGTGATCCCACGCCTTGCTGTGCGCAAGGTCGTACGCGTGTCCCACTTGAGCGAGCTTGTCGTTCTCTTTGCGTCCCTGGCACTCACGCTTGACAACCTGCTCCACGGAGGATAGGCGGGTGTTGCGCTCACCAACTACCTTGACGTACACTGCGTAGCTGCCGGCAGGCATGTCGGGTAACTCCACCGAGACAGACCGTTGCGTCATATAGTTGCTGTTGGATCGGACAACGTAGTCTTCGCCGGCGGGCTCGTCCAAGTTGTGCAGGCGGAAGTGCAGGCGGAAGGTGTATTGGCCCTGGAGACCCTTGAAGTAGCGGTCGTCAAGCTGCGTCAGCTTGAGAACAAGGGGCGAATCCTGGGTGAGCTTGATCTGGAACTTCTCATGATATTCTGGCTTCCAGGGGACGTCGACGCCGATCCAGCGCTGGCAGCAGCGCCAGTCGTTCTCGCGGAAGAGCCGGGTGCGGTCGAGCAGCGTGTACTTGCTGATCATGTCCTCAAAGGAGATCCAGAACACCGAGTCGCTGCCAAACTTGTGGCCAAGCTCTTCCTGCACTTCAGTTGTCCACTCCTTGGAGCCGTCGCTCCATGGGCCCTCCCAGAGACCTTTGCGGAGTTTACCCCAGGGGTTGCGGAGCTTCACGAGGCGCTGACCGGACTTCAAGGTTCGGGCGTCCATGACCACATACGCGTGACCCTCGCTGATGCCGTCGCGGTTGCCGTAGCCGTGCTCCATGACGCCGGTCGAGCAACCGAATAGGAACTCCCTATTCACCTTTGTCATTTCGTTCTCCCAAAACTCGTCAAGGTCGAGGATGTCGGAGGTAAAGAGCTCAGTGGTAACACCACCAGACAGATCCTCCAGGCCCTCACCAATCCAGCCGCCAGCAAGGGACCCATAGTCGCCGTGTGCCTTGGCAAAAGCCTTCTCGAGGAGCGGTACCCACGTCTCGTTCTGGTCAAGGGACTGCGCAAAGAAAAGCGCCTTGGAGCCCGTTTGGTACGTCTTGCGATAGTGCTTCTCCATGTCTTCGCGGTCGATTTGTTGCAGCAGGTCGCGCTGCATACTGGGCGAGTCCCAGCAAGGCGACATAAGGTAGAGCTTGTCATCGATTATTGAGTAAATCCACTCGCCATCCCGGTAGAAGACGAAGCCATAGATGCCAATTTCTGCGTCCGTTAGCGTGGAGGTGAACATGGAATGGCGCTTTACTGACTTGTGTTGTGAGCCACGCAGATGCGCTCGATGCCGCCCTCCACATTCGCGAGGGCACTGAGACTTGCCAAAAGCCAGCAATCACCGAGACTGCCCTGCTTCACATCGCCAGCGCTCACCTCACGCATAAAGGTGGGCTTGTCGTAGATCTCGTGGACGCGCTTCACAGCCTTAGGCACGGAAGCTGTGGAACTCAGCAGAGTGGTCGAGTTGAGCTCGAACTTGGATGACCCAAGACTGTTAAGGCAATTGCCCTTCTCGTACTTGAAGTCCCAATCCTGAAAGTGTCAGCATCTATATCTGTGCACTGATGCTCGCATGCCACATGAGAGGGCAGAGCCCACCAAGTCGAATCCAGGGTCGCGGTACCGCTGGTTGACGCGCTTGCACTCCTTGACGATCTTCTCCACCTTGCGCCTGCACTCCTCCACTGCGCGCTCATATCCGTCGGACAGCAACTCATTGGAGCGGTCGGAGCACGCGGGTGGTTGCACTGGGTCAAACGGCAGCACAGCCAGTGCCTTGTGGAACTTGCGATTCGAGAACTTCTTCCATATGCGGTTGACGGACTGCTGAGGCGGCAGACGCTTCTTGCGCTTCTTCTTCTGGTCGTTATTGTTGTTCTGCGCCGGCTGCGCGCGAGGACGCTTGGGGTCCTCGGACTCTTCTGATGAACTGTAGCCATGCATGGTGTGTGATGTGTTGGTTGGGTGTACAGAAGCCAAGCAAAAAGATGGAAATGCCAAAAGAAAATAGAGGGAGAGATTCGTTCAAGAGAATGAAAGGCGCAAAATTGCCCTGTGCTTCTGCGAGGTCGGAGGCATGTTTAAATCGAAGGCATCCCGAACTCCAGTCGAGTTGTCTGTCGACTGGACTCGGGGTCCGGGATCCAGGGGTCTCGAGGTCCACTTGGCACTGGCCCGTATCCGTCTGGTGGGTGGGTCTTTCAGACTACAGTGACAGGACTGGGCCCGCCGCTACTGTGCTTGGCTGCACTGTAAGCTCCAGTGAGTCCAGTCCGTGTCCTTATCTTCTGGCCCAGGACGACTGGACAGTGATAGGTGGGCGGGTCACTGACCATCAATATCAACAGCAGATCCAGCCTCAATACGGAGTACGCACCTCAGATTCACCAATCTCCCATGCTGGTGCGTGCGGTCAAGCCAAGGGCACCTCAGAAACAGGAGGTCAGGTGGACAAACAGAGGCGCCCAGCGACTGACTGGGCCTCTCTCTCCACGCTCCCCAGATTTGATATTCAAAGTTGCCTCACTTCCAGTCACCCACGACCCGCACAGTAACTTGGCAAATTGGGCTCGGGTGTTGGGGAGCTGGGGACTTGTAAAACTGCCTATCATAGCGTCCCTCCACCGCCTTGTCTCCGCCTCACTTGCCCAGCCATCTGCGGCGACAAAGGGCGGTCAGAACTCACCACATCCGCCTAGCCAATAGTAGCGAGCGGGATACCTCCTCGATTATGTAGACCTTGACGTGCAGTGCTGGATCTGATCTGACAAGGATATTTCTGTCAGCTCTCCATTATGTTTACCAACCCACTTCATCACCACCGACTCTTGTACAGTATGGGGTCACAGTGCGGACATGTCGGGGTGACCGAGATCCCCTATCGCTGTTTATCACCCGTTTATCACGCGTGCGCGCATCCTTGACTCGCGACCGGAGCCACGATCTACAGGGGGCAGAGACAGACAGAGGTGGTAAGCCCGCGAATGTACTCTCTTCTTCCGGGATATTGCGCAGTTCGGGCATTCGACCTTTTGACCAAATCGCGCTGTCCTTCTCGACATTTGATACGCGAAATGGTGAGGATGGCGACGATTCGCACTGTTGCGCCATGCGCAGTAGCGCCTCGGGATCAATGCAGGGTCCGGCAGGGGTCCAGTTTTTGGCGCCTAGACCCAGACGCATCCAAGGCTCTGACCTTTGTCGCTGAGGACGAGGCTTGCCCAGAGCGCATCCTACATGGGCTCCAGGCGCTGATCTGATTTTCAAAAAGGATTCCTAGTTCGACAAGGAGCGCATTCGCCGCGGCAGGCAAAGCAGCAGATGAGGCTATCGCGACTCCGCGAGTCGCAACCGCCCTAGCACGGCGACTTGCGAGATCGGAAGACTGACTCAGTCGAGAGTGTACCGTGTATGGGCCCAATCTTGACCAATGCAGCACAGTGATAGTATCCTGCCGTTTGTCGTGCAACAGTCCATGATTTACCCCCTTTGGCCATTTGTCATCCGTCTTGGTTCGTCCCGTGGACCACGTTGGCGACGTGCAAAGCTCAACAGCCATTGACGCAGGGCGCGGAAAAATGATACCGGATACCTTTTCAAGTCTTGCAGCACGGCATCAATTCTGGCCGTCGCTCGTGGACGCCTGCCTGATGGATAACTTACTCTACACGTACAGTGCGCCCGAGTTGGGACACTTCATTGCGAAGTCGTTATTGTGGGTGCTGAATTGCTGATACCTGCCTGGGGATCCCTGTGCCGCGGGTGGGCAGGTGCATGTCCGATAAGTGGGGTCCGGCATGGCTGGATGTCCCTAGGCTCTGGGGAAGGTGAGCGGTGAGGAATGTCTGGCTGTCGTCTAAGTAAGTTGTTGAGCTTTTGATGAAATGAACCCGAGTCAAACGCAAAAACAGTGAAGATGAGGGATATTTGCTCCGAGACTTCAAATGGAGCACCACGTGACAGCGAGGGACATTGGTCAACAGAGGAGGGAGGAGCGACTTTGCCCATGACCGGCTTAACATCTCAAGGGTGTCTGATCCCACTTGCTACCTTACTCTGCGATGCTTGCCATCGCATCCATCCCCTTCTCGCCACCTTGAACTGCTTTGTCTCTCTGGCTCTGTATTTTCAATCCTCCGTTGCATCAATAAAATCGAAGCGCGCCGCACCTCTTGCAGCTGACCCATCCACGTCCGTCGATCATGATGTCCAAGTTGAAGACTTTTGGCATCCGCCGCACGCGGCCTGAGAAGCCAGCCAGGGATGGGCCGCTTTCTGGCGCTTAGGGAAGCCGCCACGGTCGTAGCACTGGAGAATCATCAACATCGATTGTGCCAACAACCGACCGCTGCACTCGCACAGGAGATACTGCTAGTCGAGACAGCAAAGTAGACGATCTGTTGCGCAAGGCCGACACCGACTCCTTGAAGCCTCCGCCGAGTCTGGCACAGTTCCAATCTAGCCTCGAAAGAGCGGACGTTTTGACCCCCCTCAGAAGCGTTGGCAGTCGGTGGAAAGACGAGCGTGTCCACCGGATAGACGCGCAACAACAGTACTGCCGGTGGGAACCGCCATATGTCGCCGCGTCACCAGAACGGGCAAGGATTCTCGAGCAGACGGGCGGCAAGCATCTGGAATACTTACTTGGGCATGCAGAGAGGCGGCCGAGTCGATTGGATGAGAATATTGGCTCCTCGCCCTTTGCAGTCAAGCTGTACTCGGAGCGAGGCCTGAGCCGATATGCCTGGACAGCACCAGAGTTTATCCTACGCGAGACTCATGGATTCAGTAACTTCATCGAGTACGAATTGCACACCAAGGCGGCGAATCGTAGCCTGCTGAGAAGGACGTCAATCTCACTCGTTCCACGCGTCCTTCACGTATTCTGAGTGGCAGCAACTTGACACGGGCGCCAGTCAAATGGGCTCATCCTCTCCGGAGTAGACAAAAGCCGCTGCAAGCTCCTAAGGGGAAGCAGAAGAGAGTATCTCGACCAAGGCGCACAGAAACCGCCATGCAGAGAGCAGTACTCAACGGCATGAGCCCAGCGCAAAGTCTTCCCAGACCGGTTCGAGGACCAATATCCTGCTCCCTGGTTGAGATTGGTTGTATATCTACACCAACTCGACCGCGCTCATCGACTGGCGCGGGTCAGAATAGCGACTTGTCCCATGTCCGTCGAGGGTGTTTTGGAAACAAGCAGGTCCGGGATCGAGCTGCTCTTAGACGTAAACCACACCATGGCAGATCTTGAAATGGCACTGGGTCGCCACGACTGGCTCAGAGTGTTGCCACAACCGCTGAGGTGGCAGGGTCAGACACCTCAGAGGCATCGTCCCGAACAGGGTCGACTGGTGTGATCAACGAATGATTGCCAGAGTTGTCACTCAAAACTTTCTCTTCTGACGACGAGCAAAGGCAATCCCTGGAAGAGAAGCTGAGTGGTCTTGATTTTAAATGATGATGACAGTCTGAGCGAGTAAACATTTGAGAGGGCTTGCCTTGCACTAGGGTCGGATCCCCCAATAGCGTTCGATGATAGGTAGACAGAAGGAGAGATGGTCTCGCCTGGAATCACAGCGACAATCGGTTAGACTATTCATACTTTCAATTCGTCGACGCCTACTCTTCTGGCCTCCTCATTCAACGCATCTATCTCAGCCTGCACAAGAGGTATCCCTGACTCTCTCCGCTCCTGCGCAGCAATGATCTCGAGCTCACCAGGGAAGTAAATCCTCTCGACGCCCTCCATCTTCTCACAGCCAGTCACCCTCTCATACAAATATTGCATCCGCTCCCTGAACTCATCCAAGTCCATAAACAGATCCGGCTTGATGGCCACGAGAAAGTGACCGACATCAGCCGGCCTACTCGGGTCATATGGATTCGTCACGTGGCCAGCAAACGCCGACCCAGACAGAACCCCCGAGAACACGTCCATCATGAGACTCAACGCGGACCCCTTTGGACCCCCCATCGGCAGCATGACACCCCCGAGCGCAGCGTCCGGGTCGTCCGTCTTCCGCCCGTCCTTGTCCAGCGCCCAGTCCGGCGGGATCTTCTCCCCGCGTCGCTTGGCCTTGTAGATCTTACCCCTAGCCGCGACGCTCGGCGCCATGTCAAGAATGAAGTGCTGGGCGGGATCTTTCCCCGGGGCACCGCAGGCAATGGGGCTCACGCCCATGAGCTTCTCCCGCCCGCCCCAGGCTGGCAGCGCGGGACTCGAGTTTGTGAAGACGAGGGACATGAGGTTCTCGTCGAGAGCCTGCTGGACGAGCCAGGCGGACATACCAAAGTGATTGGAGTGCTTGACGCTAGCCATGCCGATGCCGTAGACGTGGGCGCTCTGGATGGCGGCGCACATGCCCATGTGGGCGGACACGAAGCCAAAGGCATTCTGGCCGTCGACGTGGGCGACGACGGGGGTGGTCTGGGTGAGGATGGGTTGGGCGGCGGGATCGAGGACGCCCTGACGGATACGGGCAATGTAGCTGGGGATGCGGTTGGTGCCGTGGGTATCGACGCCGCGGAGGTCGGCGAGGATGAGGGCGTTGGTGATGGTCGTTGCGTGGGAGGGGGCCACGTTGTTAGCGGTTAGGATGCTGTGGACGAGGGTGTGGAGGCGGTCGGAGGAGATGTGGATCTTGACGGGTTCAGACATGGCGAGGGCTCTTGGGAGACTTGTAGTGAGATTGTGAGGAGAGGTGTAAGCTGAGGTGTACAGGGGGTTTTTCTAGATGGCGCTGTTGAGAGAGCCACGGAGAAAGTCCGTTGGGAGCGGGGAATCTCCGTCTCCACTGTTTCAGACTGGACTCGAGGACCATGACTTGGAGGAGGGCTAGTAAATATGTCAATTAACTAGTGATAGACGGGGACTTTCGATGTAATCATGGCAGTATTCAGGGGTTGAGGTGCAACTGTGTACTGGACGCACCCGTGCAGCAGTTAGACGCTCCTTGCCCCATGCAAAGCTACCTCTTAGGCCCCTCTGCCGTGAGGAAATCAAAGTCAGCTCCCTGCTCCGCCTGCAGCACTTGCCTCATATAAAGACCCCTATACCCTCTCATCCCCTCCCTCGCCGCCCACGGGGCGGTGCTGCCCTCGCTAAGGAGCACGCCTCTCCTGGCTTCCACTCTCCGCGCAACCTCCTCGTCCGAGATATCAACATGGATCCTTCTGTCCTCCACGTCGAGCGTGATCACGTCGCCGCTCTGCAAAATGCCCAGCGTCGATGTAGGATCCGCCGCTTCGGGGGAGATGTGCAGACAGATGGTCCCGCCCGCCGTGCCGCTCATGCGTCCATCGGAGAGCCGCAGCATGTCCATCACGCCCTTCTCCGCGAGCTTCCGGGGGACAGGGATGAGGCCAGCCTCAGGCATGCCCGGGTTGCCGACGGGGCCGATGTTCTGTAGCACCAGCACGCTGTCGGGGTCCACGTCCAGGTTGGGGTCATCGATGCGCTGGGCGAGATCGGCTGATCCGGCGAAAACGACAGCCTTGCCCGTGTGCCTCAGCAGTCTCCTCTCCTTGGAGGCGCTGGCTTTCATGATCGCGCCGCCTGGAGCAACATTACCCCTGAGGACAACCAGTGATGAGGCGGGGTGGAGTGGCGAGTCGAAAGGCTGGATACAGCTGAGATCTCTAGGAACAGGGGCATGATGGGCCGAGGCCATCTCCTGGCCAAGCGTTCTCCCCGTGACGGTCAGGGCGTTGAGATGCAGCAGGGGCTTCAGCTCCATGAGCAGATCCAGCATGCCGCCCGAGTTGTGAAAGTCGGTCATGTAATTCTCGCCACTTGGCTTCAAGTCGACCAAGAGGGGGGTCTTGCGTCCAATCTCGTCAATCGTATTGAGGGTGATGTGACCCGCGACACCGGGATGACGCCCAATGATGGCCATCAAGTGCACAATGGCGTTTGTGGAGCCACCGATGGCCTGCAGCACGGTGATGGCGTTGAGAAAGGACTCTTTTGACAGGATTGTCTGCGGTCGACGCTCCTCCAGCTTTTGACACGCTTCCACCGCGTTCTTGCCCGTCTCCTCGGCGATGCGCAGTCGCGTCGACGACACGGCCGGTGCCGACGCGCCGTTGAAGGGCATGAGGCCCAGCCCAACCAGGATACAGGCCATGGTGCTCGCCGTGCCCATGACGCCGCATGTGCCTGCCGTAGGCGCCAGCTCCTCGTTGATGGCGGAGATGTCCTCGATATCAATGGTGCCGGCGCGGTACTTGGCCCAGTTGTTCCTGCAGTCTGTGCAGGCACCGATCCTCACGCCCCTGTGGCTGCCTGGCATCATTGGCCCCGTCACCAGGTGGAAGATGGGCTTGTTGGCCGATAGACCCCCCATCAACTGCGCGGGTACCGTCTTGTCGCAGCCACCAATAAGCACGACGGCATCACAGGGCTGCGCCCGGACCATTTCCTCCGTGTCCATGCTCATCAGGTTGCGCAAGTACATGCTCGTCGGGCTGCTGAAGCTCTCGTGGAGCGATATGGTGGGGAAGTCAATGGCAAGCCCACCGGCCAGCTGGACGCCGCGCTTCACGGCATCGAGAAGCTGTGGGATGTTGGCGTGGCAGGGGTTGAAGGAGGAGAAGGTGTTGGCGATGCCAATGATGGGGCGCGAGAGCGCGTCCTCACTGTAGCCGAGCGCTTTGATGAACACCTTGCGCAGGAAGAGCGAGAAGTGCGCGTCGCCATACGATGTGAGGCCCTGGCGGAGACCGGGTGCGTCGCTGGGGATTGGCGTCTCCAGATCGTAGTCTGCGTTGGCGCGGGTGGTGGGCTTGCTGTCCGTGGTGTCAGACATCTCGATCAGCGAGCAGAGTCTTGTGAGATCACCAGAATAGGGACAGGCGCCACGCGTTCTAAAGGACGACTCAGATCATTGCGATTGCCAACCCCGTCCGTGTCCGAGGACGCGGGGCAACTCCGACGCGGTCGGATGGGGAGGGGGATCGCCACGCGGGGCCGCCCGTCTGTAGACGTCCAGTCCACCGACAGTGTCTGTAGCTGAGATGATTAGTATTGTTGCTGATCCGTGCTGATTCCCTACACGGTCTCATCTGTCTATCCGTCTATGTGACTCTAATTATTGTCGTTGCATGTACGTGCCGCAGGACGGGTTCATCCCTGGTTCTTTTCCTCTGGCTTCTTCTGGCCAATCTTGACGAACTTGGTGTGCCTCCCCATGCTGACCGGCACCCTGTCATCGCCATCGATGCGGTTGATCTTGCAGTTGGTGAAAGCCATGCTCCCACCCACCTTCTCGGCCGTGGCCACAATCTCGAGCGTGTCGCCGACTTTGGCCGTGCCCAGATAGCTCACGTGCATGTCCACGCTGGCGCCGGTCGTGTCCCTCAGGTCGTGCGACGCAATGGCAAGGCCGGTGCTGAAGTCGACAATGGCTGAGGAGACGGCGCCGTGTACTGTGCCTCTGGAGTTGACATGGCACGCGTCGAGGGGCAGGTGGAGGACGACCTCTCCAGCGGAGGACCTGACAATGGTGGAGGGTGAGAGCAGAAAATTGTACAGAGGCGCATTGGAGATGAGGCGCTGCCGCACGGCCTGTAGGTGGTGGGAGCGTGCCTCGTGTGTGATTGTATCGGCTGTCATTCTGGCAACACCGGTGAGGGGAAGCGATGAGTGTATGTAGAGGTATCGATGGCTGCGTGAAGAATTTGAAGGTGAGGTAAATCTCATGAGCAATTGTAGATACCATGGATTGATGCATATACCCCGCTTGTTGCATATTGAAGCGGCTCAAGAGGAAGGAGCACCTGTACCTGCAGCAATGCCACCCACCCACAGGAACGCCTGCGTCGACAATGAACGCAATCATTCCATCCCCATTGCGACCGACCCATTGAGCATTCGACGCAGCTTCATTCGTTGCATACCGCTACAAAGGATTCTGATCCTTTCCGAGCACAAGGACAGCGCGAAAAACATCGAGTGACCATGAAGTCATGGACCATCGATCAACTGACGCGAGTGGCACGTTGAAACAAGTCAGAGCCGCCAGACCGAGGGGTGGTGCTGTCAACAACTCCGCATGCACACACGGCGCGCTTATGATCGCGGCGGCCAATACTTGACACGCTTGTCATCCAGTGTCATAAAACTTTGCCGTCTCCTCATTTGCCCGAATGTTGTGTCATCTGGATTCTGGAGCCCGAGATGCGAAACGGACGGTGCAAACAGGACAATTTGGAGATGCTGTTTGTCTGAGACGCAGGAGGAGCCCGGAAACGGTGAGCAGGGATCAGGGTGGCCTCTGACACAAATATCGAGCCACTTTGCCTCCGAACAAATGCGCCCAATGGTGCTCCTCAATTTCGTCCAGCCCGCAGGGATGATGGTGCCCCCACAGGGCCTGCTTCTTGGGCCTGTTCCAGAGTTCGGTGGACAATCCGACAAACTTGTTTGAAGTTTCGAACAATGTCCGTCCGATCAGACGCCAAATGAGCACTTCGCGGGCTTCAATGTATTGACCCTGTCACGACTGAACAGACCAGCATGGCGAAACAAGTTGACAACCACCCTTTGGAGGGAGGAAGAGCCTCATTCTCGCGTCCTTGGGTCGCTTTGGCTCCCGCGTATCATGTCACATTCGGCAGCAACCGAGACGAAACCTAGCCGCCAGCCCTGGCATCGACAGGGGGGGCCCACACCCAACGAGCCGGGATGTGTGCAGTCCCCTGACCTTCCTGGTCACTTTCAATTTCATCGAGTGTCAAGTAGAGTAGGCCAAGCATTTCGAGACGATTGGTTTCAACGGGGTTCACCAGATGGCAGGGGCATGAGATGCCTACATAACAGCCGCATGTCTGCCGTCTACACCTTCTGCTCCTCTGGCATCAGTCTATTCGCTTTTCGAGGATTGGTATCAGTCTCAGTCTCAGTCTTTCTTTTCAGCATCACCTTCATTCATTCTCTCTTACAGGCCTTGACGGTCATATTGCTACTATCACTCACAGCCTGGAGCTCGCCATTCATTCACAACATTGATACCTGTTCCTCGAAGACAGCCAGAACAAGACCAAACTACGCATCCCTTTCGTTTCACTACCCTCACACAAGACAACATGTTCTTCCAAGCGTCCGCCCTCGCGGCCATTGTGCCCCTCGTCGCCGCTCACGGCTTCATCAACGACCCTCCCGCCCGCCAGCCAGGCGATGCCTACACGAGTGTCTGCGGCCAGCAGCCCTTCTATCAGCAGTCCTCGGACATCAACGGCAACGTCCAGGGTATCATGCAGGTTGTCGGCTCCGACACCACCGACGACTGCAAGCTCTGGCTTTGCAAGGGCTTCCGCTTTGAGGACAACCAGGACAATGTCCAGACCTACTCGGCCGGTCAGACGATTGCCTTTGACGTCAATATTGCCGCCCCCCACACGGGTTACGCCAACGTGTCCGTCGTCAACACGGCGACCGACACCATCATTGGCGCCCCTATGATCGAGTTTGATGACTATGCCTCCAACGCCGGCTTCCCCGAGAACAACACTGCCTTCAGCGTCACCCTGCCCGACGACCTGTCCGACTGCACCGAGCCGGGCGCCTGTGTCATCCAGTGGTTCTGGGACGCCCCAGATATCAACCAGACCTACGAGTCGTGCGTCGACTTTGTCCTCGGCGACGGTGGTGACGATGGCGGCGAGTCGCCCGAGCCCACTTCTGCCGTCCCGGCGCCCACCTCGGTCGCCTCTGCCACCGCGACTCCTGAGCCCACCACTGTGACCCCTCCTGCCGACGATGAGGAGGAGGACGATGAGGAGGACGATGACTGCGAGGACATCCCTGACGAGGAGCTTCCCGAGGACGATGATGAGGAGGACGACGAGGAGGATGAGGACGACTGCGAGGACATCCCTGATGAGGATCTCCCTGAAGATGACGAGGATGACTGCGAGGATATCCCCGACGAGGATCTCCCCGAGGATGACGAGGATGAATACCCCGTCGAGGAGGGCGACGACAGCGAGGAGGGCGACGACAGCGAGGAGCCTCCCTCCGGCGCCCCTGCCCCCAGCATCTCGACCGTCAGCACCGAGCTTGCCGCCGTCACCCAGACCCCGCAGCCCACCGCCGTCACAGAGACGCAGACGGTCACTGTGACTGCTGAGCCCATCACCGTCACAGCCGAGCCCACTGCTTGCTCTTAAATGCTTTCTTCCCGGTGAGCAAGGAAGGAAAAGGAGTTAGATCGGTAATCAAGGAGAGGGGATGAATGGGGAGAGGTCTTTTGCTTCGCTGTCGAATATTATTTATCACCTGTGATTGTCAACAGACACTTGCACAAGCTGCCTCTCGTGAACTTGGTCCCGTGTTATGATTCCTTTCCATCTCGCCACGCTCTCGTCAAATGAACGTGCGACCCAAGCCCGGCCTAGAGAGTCTTGAGGCTCCCATCCTCCTGCACCATGTCCAGCACACCACTGAGATAATCCAGCAGGCTCAACTCGACACCCTGACTGCGCAGAATCGCATACGCAATGCTCACGTGAAAATAGAACTTTGGCAGAATGTACTCGCTCACATACCTCTGCCCACTCTCAAATTGAAAGTTTCCAGATCCCGTCTCCATGAGCAGCGGCGCCTCGGCGAGGCCGTCAAAGGCATCGGGCTTGACGCCCTCGAGCATAGTGATGGTCTTTTGGATGCGCTCTTGGAGTTGAGGAAAGGTTGTCTCGTCGTCGGCGAAGACAGGAGCTTCCACGCCCAGGCGGTGGAGGAGGAACTTGGCCCCATTGGAGCAGCTAGTGACCTGGAAGGCGAGGCTAACAGGGGGGCGCTTCACGTCAGCGTGGTTTCCGCCTTGAGACGAGGGTGGAGTGGGCGATGATGAGGGGGGAGGAGGGGGATATAGGGTCAATTGGCCCAGACCTACCCCTTCATGTCGTCGGCCAGCTTGGAAGCGAGCAGGTCCTCCTGCGCTACGCCCTTGGTCTCGCAGTGCTGGACCGCCTTGGTGAGGAGGCCCGAGAGGCTGCGGAGGTACTTGATGAGGACAGGGACGGACTGGTTGTATAGCGAGGTGGACGACGACATGATGGCTTTGGTCGGTGCTGGCTTCGGGAGATGGTGTCTGATATGAGACAAACGTAGAATGGAGGAGAATTCTTGCTGGTAAGCGTGGACTTACATGCTGCGTCCATTTATGTGCATTTAATATCCGCATCCTTGTTCTTGGCTGTCGGGATTCATTCCCCTCATCGGGTCACCCACCCGCCTCGTCGTCGAAGCATCATTTTACTTGGACGCTGCAGCGTACATCTGGTACTAAGTTACCGACCTCAATGAACCTGACTTTGGTTTTTCCAATAGATACACTAATCCTAAGCTGTCTTTCATTGACAGGATTGACTGCACTGTGACTTCATTACATGCAGTTGCTCTTGGACGGTTGTGTATTCGCGGTTATGATTACCCTGACCTCCATCCGCGGCTGTGGCGGCGGACAACTGTTGCATGTCCACCTCGCGAAAGACTAGTAAAGAAGAAACGGACAAGGACTTATGTTTAGTATTTAGAGATTGCGCTGTCATTTGTGGCTCACAAATACTTTTGTCGTTTTTTGGCCTTCATGCGCGGTGGAAATTGACAACTCGCAACTTTGGTGTACTAATAGTCACTGAAACACTTTCCATTTTTGGTAGATAGACATCCTTCAAATTTATGTGTACAGCCCCATACGTCTCAGATTATGGGGATCGCAGTGGTACATGGAAGGCCAGGTTTCAAACACAAAAACCGGGGTATGAAAGCAATAGCAGACCCCAGCATCTGTGTTGTTCTTTCATGGCGGTCTCTCGACCTTGTTCCACTGGAGCTTAATGATTTTTGTGCGCCATAGCTCGGCGGTCTTCATGTCAGAGAGATACTACTCCTCGCCCGTGGTGAATTCGCCATTCTCAATCTTCTCGCTGAGGGCCTCATTGGCCTCAAAGTACCGATCAAGATCAGGGCGGACCTCCAACACCAGGTCAAGCGTCATGCGACCAAAAACTATTTCACCGGCCGGGTTCAAGTGAGTTCGATCCGAGGGCTCCCAGTTGTAGTACTGAGCATTCTCGGCCCCAATGGCATCGACATATGTGGTGCTCGCCATGTTGAGGTCGACAAACTGGACCCCAGCCGCCTCTGCCGCCACCAGTGCCTCGTCACGCCACTCCTTGAGGTTCTGGACGACCTTGCCATCTTTGAAGGTGCGTCTGGTGAGGGAGGAGATGAAGATCTGAGGACGGTCTGGGTTAGCAATGTCCGTGACACATAGTAAAGGGACAGTACGTACCGGAGTGCCACCCAGGGCTTTGATGTCGTCGGCATAGCCGACCATGTTGACTCGGAACTCATCCAAGGTCATGACCTTTTGGTCATTGTGTCCAAATTGAATGGTCACAATGGGCTCATAATCGTCCTTGACACTTCCAATGGTCTCCACCAACCAGTCCCATCGCCCGTCAGATTTCCAGGTAACAGTCGTTGCTCCGCTCTTGGCTCTGTTCTCGCCCTCTCCCCCGTCTTGGAGGTAACTCAAGAAACCATCGCCCCAGCCTCCATCGACGGCCACGGTAGAGTCGCCGACGAGAAGGAAATATGGTGGCTTTGTCGGCTTGCATGGGGTCACAGGACCACCGTTCACAAGACCTGCCACGGCAGTGAGACAGGAGGCGATGGAGGAGAATCTCATGTTGGCAGCGAAGGCTTGATTTTGACTGAGTTATATTGGCAGGTATCCCTGTATTTGCACGGGTGATGCTTAGAGGTCGGTAGTAGCAGACTGGTGCTTGACGTGGGCACCCTGTGGAGTTTTATGCTGCCCGAGCTTTCGACGTACGGATTGATCATCGTGGCGAGCCCGGAGCCTCACCCTTTCCTCCATGTCATGAGGTTCCATCGCCCACGGACGAAGGGATCAGAAACGCCTTGCTTGGCGGAGGTAGTGAATCCGGTCCGGATAAAGGAGCTGTGTTACTCGGAGGAGAAGATCGCCTTGAGCATCAGATCCAACTTCGACCAGGTCAGTCCGCCTCACCATGCCGGAATAACTCCACTGATGGATACTGGGGTACTCCCGGAAAGATCTGTGAGGAACCATTGATCGCTCTCTCGGGTTGATTCTAACGAGATGCGGGGAGCGTCACATTGAAGCGTCGACGCGAGCTCGACCCAGATCATCCAGGAAGTTTCCCCAGACGGTTGCTGCCGTCCTCCCCGCATGCAGGATTCGGCAGACAAAAGCCCGAGAAGTTGTTGTTTTCTTCCGTGGTCCGTCATCTCCACACAGCCCCCTTCCAGGCGCACGAACTCCCCCGGCACCTCTGCTGTCCTCTTTGATGACCATAGTGATGGAAAAGCCCGATTGCTTATTGGAGTCTGTTGGCCGGTTCGTCCGCTAGTATTTAAACGACAAGGACGTCCTCGCTATTTCACACCACCAGAAGAAAGACGATGAATCCTTTCTTCGTGGTTCCGTCCTTCCTCGACGCACAAAATTGTCCATCGTTAGGGGAGCCATGTAGCAGGTAATAAAGCTGTCTGCGCTACGTCCTACTCCCCCCCCGGCGCCAATACCGATTGGATCCATCATCAAGGTGCCGGCTCGCTGCTTCAGTTCTCGACAAACTTAAGTTCCACGTCGCTAGGGCTGGCCTGTCTTGTCGGTGAAGTTATCAGCATCCCTGTCCCTGTCCAGGGGTGTGCAAGAGCCTAGGCCAGCAACGATTTCTTACCTCCTCCATCAACACGTGCTCACGTAGCTCCCTTACCTTGATAACTTAACAACCGAATAAATCAGAAGAAAATTCCTCGATTATCAATCTTATGTTAGCCATAATGATCTTCGCAAACGGACGTATGTAGCAGTGTAGAAACAGCGTGCTTAAACGATTATCTCGGCCACCGTACGGGATAGTTAACCGGTCTTCTGCTTAGAAATCAGACAAGAGTAGGACACCGTACAGGACGGAGATGAACAGAACCATCAGCAGGCAGCAAAAGATCACATCGGCCTCACAGCGCCACGGCCACGAGCCAGGCAGCGCCAAAGACACCAGCGACAATGCCCATCTCGAGTCGCGCGCCGCTGGATGGAGGAACCACAGGCGGGCCTGCGCCATCATCGCCATCACCAGATTCACCACCACCATCTCCATCATCTCCACTGCCGCCATTGTCGCTGCCATTGTCGCTGCCATTGTCGCTGCCACCGTTTCCTCCATTGCCACCGTCCCCATCATTGCCTCCACTGCCGCCATCGTTGCCTCCACTGCCGCCATCGCTCCCGCCATCACTGCCGTCGCCATCGTCATGACCGCCTCCTCCACTGCCGCCATCATTGTCTCCACTGCCGCCATCGCTCCCGCCATCACTGCCATCGCCATCGTCATGACCGCCTCCTCCACTGCCGCCGTCCTCTCCACCCTCGGAACCGTCATCGTCACCAGCATCCCCGTCGCCTCCTGTGGGCGCCGGACAGTCTCCGCCGGTAGCATCCGCCGTCGTGGTCGCGCACGCGCACACTGACTCGGCGCCGGTGATGACGGCCTGCAGGTCCCCAGAGTCGCAAGCTGTCGCCACGCAGGGGATGAGTAGCTGGCTCAGACTCGCCCGGGTGTCAGGCTCGCACTGACAGCCGTAGTCGTCGGCGTCGCAGCCAACACCGGGAGCCGCCGACGTGAAGCAGGGCTGCGCGCAGTCGGGCACTGCCGATGTGGCTACGGCGCCGCAATCAGCAGGCGTGCCAGGCGCGCAGGTCGTGGGCTCGGGGGCGCCATCGTCGCTCGTCTTGGTAGGCGATGGCGGCTCCTTGGTGGGCTCGCCGTCACCCCCGTTGCCAGGGCAGCCGCCAGTCGGGCCAGCCAGGGCACAGTCGCACACAGAGCTGGCACCCTCGATCACCAAGGGGATGGACGCTGGTGGGCAGGCTGTGGCCACGCAAGGGACGAGGATGGCCGATAGCGAAGCAAGCGCGTCGGGCTCACACTGGCAGCCATAGTCCTCGACACCGCAGCCAACGTCAGGCGCGCCCTGGGTGAAGCATGGCTGGGCACACTCGGGAATGACAGAGGTAGCAACAGGGCCGCAGTCAGGTGCTGTAGCATCAGCGCACGTTGTAGTCGCGCCATCATCCCCATCATCCCCATCACCGCCATCACCGCCATCACCGCCATCGCCATCGTCATCCCCACCAGTGGTGGTGGAAGGCGGCTTGTCGTCGGTCGTCGTTGGACAATCCCCTCCAGAGGGCGGTGCCGAAGCGCACGCGCAGACCGAGGCCGCGCCTGTGATCACAGCGGACAGATCACCAGAATCGCACGCCGTGGCCACACATGGGATCAGCAGCTGCGACAGCGATGCCTGGGCTTCCTCCTCGCATTGGCAGCCAAAGTCATCGACACCGCAACCCACACCAGGGGCGGCACTTGTGAAGCAGGCTTGGGCGCACTCGGGGATGGCTGTCGAGGCTACCGGGCCACAGTCCGACGTAGTCCCTCCCTCACAGGTTGTTTCTGGCGGAGGCTGCGTGGTCTCCGTGTCAGGAGGGGTGGTGCTCGTTGTGGTCTCATCATCATCACCATCGTCACCGCCTCCATTTGATGTTGTCGTCGTCGCTGTCGGTTCGTTCCCATCGCACGGTTCAATTGGGCTGGCCTCGACGCAGTCGCACAAGGCAGCCACGGATGACACTACCTCTATGGCACCGGGAATCCCGCACCCGTCAATCACACAACCCTGCGCGGCGGGCTGGATGATGGACTGGGACGCGCACGAGCACCCGTAGTCGCCCTCGCGACAACCAGCTTCAGTGACCGCAGCCGAGTTGATGCATGCTCTAGCACAGTCAGGCACGGCGTCGGCGCTCTCTTGGCAAGGGGAGTCCGGACTGCAGGTGACCTCGGGAGGAGGTGTCGTGGTGACCGACTGCTCAATGGTGCTCGTGGTCGGGGGCAGCTCCACGGTGGTGTCATCTCCGGGCGTAGATGTGAGAGTGGATGAGGGGGTTTCTTCAGGAGTGGACGTGGCCGTGGCCGTGGAGATGTCTGTAGAGATGTCTGTCGGAGTGGTCTCTGGGGGCTCCGGCGTGGCAGTGGCTACGCAGGCGCATACAGAGCTTCCGGCGGCAATGACATTGTTCAACTCGCTGAATGGGCAGCCAGCAAGGACGCAGTCAAGGGCCGTCTGGACAATGGCCTGCGATGACTCGGGAGTGCAGCGGCCTGTTGTTCAGCACGCGTCACCGGCGTTGTCAACGAGGCTGGGGAGGACTCACAGGCGACGTCAGTTGCGACAGTACATCCTACGGCCGACCCGGCCGAGATGATGCACGAGAACTGGTTTGCGTCAGCGGCAGGTCAACGCTGCCAGACGGAAGACTCACGGCACACTCTGGAAAGTTGGTCGTCAGGCTGAGACATTCTTCCTGGGCAGCCACCAGCTGCAGCAGAGCCAGCAGGCCCAAGGTAGGTGCAGGTCGTCGCATGCTGATTCCGAACTTCACTCTGCTATAAAATGTCTTTGGGCGTGAAGAAAGCTTGAGCTGACACTGTCATGAACCCGCGAGAGAGAGAGAGAGGCGTCGGAGATGGTCAGGTTGGCAAGGAGGAAGCCTCATATAGGCGTGCACAGGGGGCCCCCTTTCAGCCTCGGCGCGGCAGCTCCTTGACATCTGGTCCGACTTTCCGACCTCGACGAGCCTTCCAGGCTCCAGCATACATTGACAAGGCTCTGGGAGATGAGGATTACGTTTCGATGCTCGATGGTACCCTGGACAGCACGATACTACCAACAGCGGCTGCACACTGCGGTCCAAGTGGGCTGGGGAATCCCTGTACTTTTGACATGGCCTTGATTTGCAGTGTTTGCATCTGGCTGGTGTGTTGGCAGTGCAACCACGGGTGTTCGGCGATGCGTTGCTTTGACGAGTATCTTGCTAGTTGATCTTCGAGTGAAGGTTCCTGCTGCGTCGTGCTGACTGCTCAGCAAAGTGTCGGATGAGGCTGTCGTCTGGTTGGAAAGATTTCCTCAAAGTTGGATACTGCCATGCCCATGGCAAGCGAACGCGGCTGGCGATGTTTCGTTTCTCTGCGCAGCCAAAGAGGTCTTTTGAAAGTGTGGCTCGTATTGGGCCATGCAAACCGAGATGAGCAGCCGCGCGACGCAATGCAACGTACGTTGCAGGGGATCATGCCCAAAGTGTTGCTCTTGTCGTTGGTTCGACTGAACATGTGATTCCGACAACGAGTTAAGTTAGGTATAATGTGACAGCTCGCAAGGCGTCTTCAGGCACGGGCTAGCCACCATGTAGTAAGGATCAGAGCGGTGGGCTCCCTGCACTCCGCGTTGCGATCCAATCCCTCATTCGCTAGCTGCCCGGACATGGCAGCAGCCAAGCCTGCAAGGTGAGGTCGGAACGCGGGGAAGCGGGGAGGCGATGGTAATGGTAACGGTGATAGAGGGTGGTCGACCGTCAGGGGTTGCCGCCGGAATCTCGCACGGCATTGGTGTGGATGCCCGGAAGTAAGCGCAACATTGTGCCCTGCCTGTACGTGCAGTGACAGCAAGCCAAGCAGAGCCATGTTCAACTTTTGACCGAGCGTGTGCTGCGACCCCTGTGCGTGAGCCGATGTGCCGCCTTGGGGCTGTCGGCCGTCCGTCTCTGGTGAGGTCATTCTAGTTGTCGAAAGCTTTGCTGTGACTCTGGCCTCGTGATATGCCGGATCAACATCGTCTTGGTCGCCAGTTTGTTGTGCCCGCGTGCGTGAGGATGAATGGAGGGCAGAAATGAGAATAAGTCCCTACCACCTGAAGCAGGTGCCCCAGATGAGTGTAACTTGGCTGTGCCATTGGATCATCAATTCGACAGGAGCCTGCTCCTCTATGTGGAGGGAAGGACCAAGCCCCGTACCTTCACGCATGGCAATGTGACGTTGTTGTATAGGGTAGGTATTACAATACTTGTACTTGTCTAGTGACTATGACCGCCAAATGCGAATGCAAAACACGCTGCAATGCTCCAAATCATGCCCTCTGTCGCCGTCATCCTTCCTTACGAGTAGGTGCAGCTGACGGGCTCCTCGGTGGGCAGGACCATGGCGTTGAAGCCAAGGCAGCCCTCGCTGCCACCGGGGTTGGTGACGCCCGCGTTGACCCAGATGGACCACGAACCCTCGGGAATGGCGGGGCAGGCGATGAGGCCGGCGCCGTTGAAGTTGAGGTAGCTATAGTCGCCCTTGTCCGTCGATGTCCAGCCGGTCAGCTCGGCGTTGCGGGGGAAGCCCTGGCCGCCGGAGAGGTAGCCGACGTTGCCCTGGCCTGGTGGGTGTCAGTAATGTAACTCAAGACAACAGAGGTGGGAAAAAAACAAAAAGGAAAAAACATACCCATGCCGGAGCGGTCGACCCAGACCTGCTGCTCCTCGTCCGTGTCCTTGTTGTAGAGGAAGAGGGCGCCGTCGCGCAGGGAAAAGGTGGCACCGTTGTTGGTGACGTTGGCGTCGCAGGTGGCGTCCTGCGCCTCCTCGGGCAGGTTGATCAAGAGGTTGCTCTTGCTGGCGCTGACGGTGCCGAAGTGGATGGGGCTGGCGGAGCGGAGGCTCATGAGGCCGAAGGCCTTGACGTCGGTGGTAGTCGAGGGCGAGGGGGTGGCATTGGGCGCGGGCGCGGCGGAGGTGAGGCCGGCGGCGAAGAGGGTGGTGAGGGCAGTGAACTTCATGATGGCGGTTGATGTGAGGTGATAGGTGTCGAGTGATGTGGTGGATGTGAGTTGTTGAGATTGATGTCGAGTGGTGGGTGGTGAGTGTGGTTGATAATTGATCCCAAAGAGCGGACGTCGAGGGGCCTTTATTATACCATTTCCTGCGCTACCGGTCGCCCCGCGACAGTCCAGTCGGTCTCCGGGTCTGGATCAAGAAAGCCACGGGAATGACGATGGCTCGCTTGGCCGCGCTGCGGACCAGGATGATCACCTCGTATAGAGCGAGACTGAGAGTGCCGGGCTCCGCCTCCGCAAGTCGGACATGCCCTGCGGTGACGAGTAATGCGGTCGAAATCCCCGACTATGCAAGCGGGCCGAGTTGTTCAAGCACATCGTAAAAAAAGGTACGGATACTACACTAAAAATGGTGGTGCCACGAGTATTCACAGCCTCAATCTCGGGCGTGTCCACCTTTTCCCAGGTCTGGGCCGTCGTTCGCCATGGCTGTGGTGGCCTGTGGAGGCGTCGTGCCCTGGAGGCTGGGCCTGGCAGGGACTGGAGATCTACATAGTGTGGGACTCTAGCAAAGGTAAAAAGTGAGAAACTGTCCCATACGGGCCAGACATGACGCCACGTGCACTGAGTTCACGCTTGGCTGGCCGTGGGTGGTTGTTTGATTTTTGCTCTCATGATGGCCTATTATTCACACAGACGCCAAATCCTGTCGAAGGCACAGAGTTCAGAGGGAGGACAAATAGGAGAGGAGGCCCAGTGTTGATGCCGATCACACCTCACAAAATCGGGTCCAGCTGCGGCCGCGTCCCTTGCTCCAGGCAAATAATAAATACCTACGTATGTACGGAGGCTGAGCCAAGACCCAAGAGCCAAGACCGTCAATGCAATGCCGTGGATGGTCGCTTGGCAGACGTGGAACTGCCGTCGACTGCCGTATTTCCTGCGTGCGTCCGCTGGCCGAGATTGGTGTGGATCACACGAATAATGCGCTGGACGAGGCCAAATGATGCGGAGCTGGACATTCATTACTTGATGTCATCAGCATCATCCCGTTGTTCGCGTTCGCCGTCAGGCGTCCAGAATGGGAATTCAGATCCACACATCATCAGCTACCGATCAGAACGGCATAAACTGGCCTCGGCTATCCGTCATTCCATTGCATATGCGTGACACGCTGTACGACGTCGGACGCTCTGCCTGCTCGTATTCTATCCAAGCAAGCGCTGCTCATCAATCTCCAAGTCCCGCTCGGCCTCTGGCTGCACCGGCTCCTCGGACAGCCTTGGATTCCGCAGCGCCAGCGCAAACACAATCATGGGCACGCAGATCACCATACCTGCCATGCACAGGAGACGGTGCGTGCCCGCATAGCTCTCGATGATGGCCGATCGAATCTCCGTCCCCACGGGATACTCTGCGACAATGGCAAATGGTGACTTGTAGATGTCGTCGGCCAGGGTCACATTCGGCTGAAAGGCCAGGTTCGACCGCAGCATGGTCGGCAGCGTCTGCGTCCAGATGGCGCCCGACAGACTCGTGCCAAAGGCACTCCCGACATTGTAGAAGGACAGGTACAAACCCGTCAGGATGGCCACGTGCTCCTTGGACGCCGACGCCTGGATGGACGCCTGGGTCGGGTACGCAAACAGACCGCCCGCCATGCCCATGATGACCTGCCCGGTAATGAGGCCCCTTTGCGATGCCACGGACGCCCCACCGTTGAACCGGATTAGTACCGCAAAGGCCAGCATGAAGATGCAGGTCCCGAGCACAATGATGTACTTGAGACGCCGCACCCTATAAATAATGATCCCCGTGACGACGCCGCTCAGGACGCCAAAGAAGGAGAAGAAGGACAGGATGCGGGTGGCGGTGGCAATGGGAAAGTCAAATGCCACGACGAGGACCGTGTACAGGTAGTTGCCCTGCGTGTACCACGCAAAGTTGAGCAGGCTGCGCACCGCGAGCGCAGCCCAGACGCCCCGGTCCGCGAGGAGGGCGAGAGGCACCAGAGGCACGCTGGCGCCCTTTTGCTCCCAGACGACAAAGGCCGCGGCCAACATGAGGCCGATCGTCAGCGGCACGACAATGTGAGGGTCCCGCCAGTGGCCGACCTTTTGGCCCGTAATGGTCAGCGGCGCAAGGACCAGCGAGAACGAGGAGATGACCAGCACGAGGCCAACGACGTCGAGCTGATGATACAAGGTGCGGGCCACCTCTCGCGCGCCCCTCTCCTTATCCGCGCCTGCGTCGGCCAGAGATGCCATGTGCTTGCGCGCCCTGCGCTCCATGGTGTACAGCGACCAGAGGAGCGGCAGGGACGCGACGGGGTAGATGATGGCCCACATGCCGAGCCCCCACCGCCACGTTGTCACGCGGAGCACGGCGGACGTCACGTTGCCGCTGATCCAGGTGTTGACGACAAAGGGCAGGGCCGGGATGTAGCTGAAGAAGACGCGGGCACGCAGGGACGAAAAGTCGGCAATGAGGACCTCCAGGAGCAGGACGATGCACGTGTAGCCGACCTGGTAGATAATGGCGCCGGCGCAAAAGACCTCGACGGAGCCCGCGGTGGACTCGATGGTGATGCCGGCCGTGTAGAGGACCGTAGCGAGGACGACGACCTCGAAGCGGCCCAAGACGTCGGCGATCTTGGCGGCCGTGGGCTGCGCCGCGACAGCGACCACGCTGCGGAAGACGTTGATGGTGGCCAGGTACGAGTGTAGGTGGAAGCTGGCCGTGGCGTACGGCTGGTAGGTGGAGCGGACCTGCGACTCGAGGCCGTAGGCGTAGCCGACGAGGAAGATGCTGAAGAGGAGGACGGCGCGTTGCGAGGCTGTCAGCGTCGACGAGACGGCGGCCATGCGGGCGACGCCAGCGGACAGGGGGGGCGGCGATGGTGCGTCGTGGTGGTGGCTGCTCGCCTGGTCTTCGCTGTCGACATTGTAGATGTGTGTCGTCTGTCGACGGTGGTCGTGCACAGCCTTGCTGGCGTCTTGTTGGTGCCCCAAAAGAGGCGTTCTGTCTGATGAAGACACGGAAAATGAGGAGCGTGAAGACATGGTATACGTCTGCCAGCCAGCCAGCAGGTTTAGGGTCGAATCAAGCCGGCTGAGTGATTACTAGACAACGCTCGAATAGCAGCGGAGAGAAGTGAGGCGGAGGTGAGGGCGGACGCAGAGGGCAGCCAGGAAGCGCCATGTCAGTGGGCAGATGAGAGACATGGAGAAGAGTCAGAAGATTGGGAGAGAAATACCGCGGACGGGATGGGAAAAGGAAAAGTGGACAGGAGAGTGGTGAAGAAGTAACGTGATTGATGCGTGATGGCAAGTAGTGAGACACGGCGGCTGCAGGCACGAGTCTATTAGCCAGTAGCAGTAGCACTGCCAGCCTCAGCTGATCGTTGCAGCTGATTGATAAGATGAGCGCCATCAGCCAGCGGCCCAGCCAGCGGCCCAGCCAGCGGCCCAGCCAGCGCGGCACCAGCGGGTCTTCCCGCCCCGGCGTACACACTGCTAGGGTCTGCCAGCCTGTCTCCGAGGGACCGAGTCCATTGGAAGAGGCAAGGAGTAGTATTAGTACCTGTAGCCAGGGGCCCTTGGAATGAAAGTCAAATCATTCACTCAGAAATATGTTCCATGTCAGGTAGTCAGCATTCGGGGAGTATCGCAATCAACGCGCCACACAGTTGTGACAGTACTGCCATGCTGTCATCACCCGACCGACCGCCTACCCTGCGTACTGCGCAAACGGGTCCACCAGAGGATCCCGGCTACGGACGTATTCCGCCCCGCGAGAGACCCCCTCGGCGACATCGGACCCGTGCTGCTCCTCCACAAAGGCGTACATCATGTCCATGCCCGCCGATATCCCCGAGGACGTCCAGACATTGCCATCCACGACCCAACGAGCCTCCTTGACCCATTCCACGCTCGGGCCCTGCGTGACCACCTGGTTCTGTCAGGACTTCCGTTGATGATATCCATGCGCACAAGTTCACAACACGTCTGACTCACCCACGCAAAGGCCATCTTGTTCGACGTCGCCCTCTTGCCGTCGAGCAAACCCGCCCGTGCGGCAATGGCGCTCCCCGTGCACACCGTCAGGAAATATCGCAGCGTCGGGTACGCACGCTGAATGTACTCCACCACGACACGGGTATCCTCCACGCTCCGGGCGCCAATCCCGCCTGGCACGATGAGCACCTCAATGTCCGACGGTGCGTCATTGTACGTGTGTGTTGGCACTACGCTCTGCCCGACACGACCGGTCGATGCCTTGCAGAGGGTCGAGACGGGGTCGAGCGTTGGGCCCAGCACCGACAGCTCGAGGGCCGGCATCGACTTGGCCATGATGTTGAGAATATCCAGCGGCCCAAAGACGTCCAGCGCCTGGAATCCGGGGTATAGCGCCACGGCGTACTTGGTCGGTGCGTGCGGCATGGTTCTGCTCGTGAGATGGAGTGGCTGTTACGTTGAGGATTGGTCTGAGACTACATCACAGTCAAACCGTCCCAAACAGGGTATTTATGTCTTTTCCATGGCCTCAGTTCCTACTGACGACCGGAGGCGGGGACCGCGGGGTTCATGATGAATCACAGAGTCTGGGCGTTCTCACCATCTGTCGGCCCGACATCGGCTGGCTAACAAGTCACTGTAAGCCATGTAATAGAGGAGACGAGTATTGACGATGGTGAAAAATAAGGAATGTTGTTGTGACTCAATCTAGACGCCAACGCCAACGCCAAGAAAAGAATCCATACACGCGCCTTGGACGGGTAGGAAAGAGATCACAATGACCCTCTCAGGCAAGCCCCCTGGGCCCTATCCCATCAAACAGCAGCTCATCAACAACATCATCCGGCGGACGAACCCCCCTTCGCGCAGCCGCGGCCTACGCGATCCGCTCCTGTTCGCTCGTCACCTCTTCCGGATCCAGCGTCCGCAAATCCCACATGATCTGCGCCTTCTGCTCGTCCGTCGGCACATGGACAAAGCCAACGTACATGTGCATCTCGCACGGCCCCCAGCGTCCCTTGTCCCAGGCCTGCTGCGCGGTATGCATGAGGATGCGGTCCTCGAGCTCGAGCAGGCTGAGATCGTCCGGGAGGAACCAGGGGCGCAGACCCCACGAGTCTTCGAGCTCGTGCACATCCATCAGCATCGGGTCCCGCGGATGCGCCCGGTCGGCGTGGAAGCGCACCCCAAAGTCATAGCACTGCCCGCCCCAGGGCAGGTGGAGGCCGATGGCAATGGCGCTGCCCAGATTCTGGAGGAGCGGGGGGCTGATCTCCCTCGCGACCATCTGGGCGACGCGTCGGATGTGGGCGTTGTACAGCTCGGCTGGGTCCGCGGACAGGTGGCCGCGTTCCGGTAGGGTCGAGGGGATATATGTGTCGAGGAGATCCCTCGGATTGCTAATTGGACAAGGCGGGTTCACGTAGTCCGTCGCGGGCAGGACGAGCGAGGTGCGGCACATGGGACAGCTCGTGGCCCCCGAGTCGAGCCAGTCGTCTATGCACTGCTCTCCGAAAAAGTGTCCGCACACGAGTAGGCCAGCCGGGCCAACGCATAGGTCTATGTGCTCTTTCTTGGGGGTATCGCAGATGTGCATGCAACCCATGCAGATCTCGCATCGTGGGGTGATGCGGTCAATGTTCCGGTGATCCGCGGCCACAGCAAGGCGGATGGGCGGGAAGTAGGCCGTCTCAAAGATCTCGTCTGGGAACGACATCGTTCTCTGCCTTGGATAACGCTGTACTTCTTAGTTGCTTTGAGAAAAAGGTTAGTCGGCACGGTGCAAGAACACGTTGCAGATCTACTACGTAGTTAGCGTCCCCAGGGGCGCCGGGTGAATCTCATTCTGGTCCATGACTGGACTGAACAATGGCATTGTAGTCGTGGAACATGTCGAGCACCAAACTGAATGGGAGAACATCGCCTTGTAGGGATCTGACACACCAAGCGTGTGAAGACACATTCCATTAAAAAGAGTAGGTGAAATGGTATAATGGTAAGAAAAGACAAGAGAAAACAGCCAGACAGACAGGCAGGCTATGCCATGTGAATGAATCCAGAACGCGCCTTGTGAAAAAAGAAAGGTTGAGCCTCCCAATGAAAAAATGAGAAATTGACAATGAAAGGAGATATGTCCATGAGTGGACGGGACAGGTCCTTGAACACTCAGCTGTCCCAGATGGCACCGTAGGCCGGCACGCCACGCGTCTGAAGACCATATACCACCTTCTTGGTGATCTTCTCGTTAGCGATGATAATGACAGCCTCGGCCCCGAAATTGGTCGCCATGTTGAACCCCATCCGCACCAGATCAGGACGTCCGTTGACCTTGGTGTCGTGGATGACCGCGTCGGGAATGTTCCGGCGGATCGTGCTGGTGACGTCCTCGCCAAAGGTCGACTCAGGGTCCTTGGTCGACCAAATGAGCTGTGTAGGGCAGCTCGGCTGCCCAATGTGGCCGAGGACGGGCCCGATGCCCGAGCCCGTGGCGATAATGACCACGCGGTTGAACAAAGTCGCTATGCGCATGACGCCGCATGTGGGCAGGCCACGCACCCACATCTTGGTCGGGGGGTTCTCAATGCAACGACGCGTCCAGTCCCCAGCGTTGGATACGACCAGGGAGTATCCCTTGCCCGAGGCCTTGGGCTTTGGGATCGTGGCGAAAGAGTGCCATTCCAGGAGAGGCCTCTCGGACAGGCGTGTGAAGCTGCCATTGACGGGTGTGGTATAGTCAAAGTGAAGACGGATAGCGTGGTTGGACAAGACCTCTGTTTCGACGCGCACCTTGCGAAGGAAGAACCACGAGGATGCGACGCTCAAGCTGGCCACGACGAGGATCCAGAAGATGGGGCTCCTGGCCAGGGCATGACCGAGCTCCTGGGTAGGGCCTCTCTCGCCATCCACGGACAAAACGGTGCGAACCCAGAAGATGACGAGTGTCGTCCATCCCACGAAGCGGTGGATGCGCTCGAATTGGTTGTGGTAGCGCTTGCGGAAGCCAGGATAGGCGAAAGCGACCATGCTGACGCAGAGGATGCACAAGATCCACGAAAGCACCAGGACGGCTAAAACATTCGGGTTCAATTGGTTGAGGGTCCCGTCCGCTACGCGATCCCAAGTGGCGCGCACGGTGGAGATGAGTAGCCAGGCCGTTGCGCATATGCCAGCACCCGAGTGAACACCACCCAGATGGTAAATCTCCGCGCATCGCGATCGGATCCAGAGAGGACATCCCTTGGGTACGGAACAGAAAATGGTGTAGAGAGCGTTGATGACGAGCTCCTGGCGGATCAGGATGCAAACCACCAGGTTGCCGGCCACCAAAAGGTTGAGCCAGGAATAGCCGCCGTCGGTGACGAGAAGGGCGACGAGAAATCCAATGTTGAGCAGCCACACGAGACTGAAGAGCTGGCGGTAGATGATGAAGACACGGTGGCGGAGACCTCGCCAGGGACGACCTCTGCGCTTGTCGGGGATTTCGGCCGAGAGGTCCTTCTTGTCCGTGGTCGTCGACGTTGTCGTGGTGGTCAGCGATGTGGCAGAAACGGATGTACCCGAGACGGAACGAGTCTCCACGGCAGCCTCGAGATCCACAACCTTCTCAGACACCACTGCGGGCTTGGGCTCTGCCGCAGGTTGAGCCTCCTCCTCCTCCTCCTCCTCCTCCTCCTCCTCCTCCTCCTCCTCCTCCTCCGCCACGTGCATCGTCATCAAGGACTTCTTGTCAATCTTGCCGTTCGCCGTCGATGGCAGATGCGAGAGAAGGATGATCTTGGAAGGCACGGCATAGTATGGCTGGGACTTCTTGGTGTGGTCGAGGATGGAGACGTTGTCGAGATGATCCGGGGAGACGAAGCCGTGAATTTGACCATCGATGAGCAGAGCAGTTGCTCTTGTGACGCCCGGGAACGAGGCCAAAGTGGCAGAGATGCCATCAAGCTCCACGCGGAAGCCCTTGACCTTGACCTGGTCATCGGCACGCCCAAGGATGTCGATGGCGCCCCCTTCCATCCATGACCCGAGGTCACCTGTCTTATACATAAACGAGCCGTCGTTGGCGAACTTGTCCGGCAGGTATGCCTCCTTGGTCTTGGCCTCGAGGCCTACATAGCCCCTGGACACGCCATGGCCGCCGGCCCACATGGCTCCAGAAGCACCGAGAGGGACGCGCTCAAGGTCCCCGTCAAGGATGTACACTTTGTTGTTGGGTGTCGGCTTGCCAATGGACAGCTTCTGGCCAACAACGTGCCTGGACATTGTGTTCACAATTGTCGTCTCGGTAGGCCCACAGCAGTTCCAGTACGTCGTGTGCGTTGCCCAGAGGTCGGCAAGACTAAGCTGCGTCAGCGACGTTCCGGCGGCCAAATGACTCCAGCACTCACTTTTGGGACGATGCCTCGCCCGCCGTGGCCACCGCCCGGATCTTGGGGAATTTTGTGGGGTGGTACTTGGAGAGAATCGTAGGTGTGCAAATCAAGACGTTGATCTGAAACAGTTAGCTCGCAGTCCGGTGATTGTGAGCGAAGAGATAGTACTGACCTGCTCCAGTGCCGGCTCCCATTGAGAGCCGCGAACGACGAGGGTGCCGCCGTTGCATAAACAGGCGAAGATCTCCCAGGCAGCTATGGATCCCAAGTCAGTACGTTGTTGACTGTCATGTGTCTTTCTGTACCCAAGTGCACTCACCCATGTCAAAGCTTATGTTCAGAATGCTGCCGACACATGTCCCGGGCCGCACATCCAGGTTGCCGGGACCCTGGCACACCAAGTTCGCTACATTCCGGTGGGTAACGTCTACTCCTTTGGGCTTCCCGGTGGTCCCTGATTGGGTGTCAGTCAGCAGCCGCTTGGGAAAACCCAGGAACCAGGTAATGCAATCATACCAGATGTGTAAATGACGTAGCATCCGTCGTCGGCCGTTGCCAGGTCAAGCACCTCTTGATTCGACCATGTCTCACTGTCAGAACGGCAGTGTTCGTCGATTAGAACGGGCGTCAGCGGCGCATGTTGGTGGAGGTCCTCGAGTCGCTGCTCCGTCGAGGAGATGCAGAGAACGACCGAGCAGCCCGATTGCTCAATGACGGTTCGGATGGTGGACTCTGGCACAACCCCCCCGTCCAGAGGGACGTACTGCGCTCCACAGGATAGGATGGCCCAGATACCGACAATCATTTCTTGGCCCCGCTTCACGAGTAGTGGGACGCGCTGTCCTCGACCTACACCGAGGCCTCGGAGCTTTCTCGCCAGGCTCTGTGCATGGATGCGAAGTTGACGATATGTGAGCTCCCGCGGCGGCTGGCTCGAGAGGTCCCTGACGGCAATGGCGTCGGGGAAGCCGAGAGCATGGTGGTAGAATGAGGCAGTGACAGTAGGGAACGGACATCTCGTCATCTCGCCCTGCTCGTAGGAGCGGACGAGGGACAGCTCGTGCTTCGAAGCCATGGTGTTGCGGAGCGGAAGCAATATAAACAACAACAGGAAGAGTGAAGAATGGAAATCTCTGTCGAGTAGCTCTTGTCCACATGCCTCTTGTCGGGGCAAGACGAGGCAGGTTTATATAAACTCGAGAAGCGTTCGCAAAGCTTGCCCTCAGGGCCATTTCCATGATCTGCACTCTTCAAGACGTTCCCTTCCTTCCCTTGATCTCCTCGTCCTCATACGAGCCATTCATGCCTACAGCAAGACATGCCGTGGATTGTGACCGAGCGTGATGCTGGTTGCCAGGGAGCTTGTGCTCGCTTTGAGATGGTTGACCGGCGATATCTCGACGGTACTTGACGAGACAAGGGTAGGGTCGAGTCTCCTCGACAGCCGATGGGGGTCCACAGGAATGCCGCTGCTGGCCATCTTTGAAGAAAAGAGTAATTGCCAATAGATGGGTGGTCAGACCACAGGAACAGGAGGAGCGCCTGGGCGCCTGGGCGCCTGGCTGTGCGACAATGTCATCAAAGCTCAGCTACCGGGGAGGGCCAGGGTGCTCCACCCCACGCCACGCGGGAGAGGTTGAGTGGTGAGGTGGGATTTCTGTATAGTTGATTCCGCCGATCGGACACCGAGGAGGTCCAAGGGAAGCCGGGGTTCCGCAAATTCTTCAACGGTAGGTCATTTGTGCCTGGCGTCCCATGGTTCTGGGAATGCATGTGAACTTCGGACCCAATCCAGTGCATTCTTGTCTTGTCTCGGATCCCTCGTGCGCTAGGTCTTGCTTCAGTGCGGTTGGCCCCCAAAGACCATGCGTGCCAGTGGCCGCCAGAGGGTTACATCTCAATTCTTACCACTGGGATCCTGACGAAGCGGAAACATCCCCGGGCAAGGTTGACGGTGCCGGCATCTCACTTTGGGCCAGCCAAATTCTCCGGCAGTCGAAGGGCGCAGTGGACCTTGCACAACTGATCGCCTCGAAATATCGACGTCGGGTGGCCCCATGACGACAGGTGTCAAACGAGTGCTGTGGACTTTGTTGAATTGTGCCCTGGATTAGCTTTCAGAAAGAATGTGTTGCACTGTCGAAAGTCGGAGATGGAGTTACATCATCATCTCTACCACAAGAGGCCTTGTGGCAATGCAGAAGCTGCTCGAGCTGCCCCCAAGGGAAGCAAGTCTCGACACGAGATACTGTAGACTGCCTGTCTCTCAACGCAAGGCTGACAGACAGGCCACGCAGATGAAAAAAGCAGCTAGTTAGTAGCACTAAGACAGCGGAGGGCGGAGGGCGACATGGTCAAGATCGAAACTCAAGGGCCCTTGTGCGTAAAGTGCCAAGTCTCCCTTCCGCAGGGCAACGCGTGGGTATGGTTTTAACTCCGTGCACTCGAGTGACTTTGGACATTGCTTCTGGAATCAACAGCGCCAGATTTATCGCACCCTCGAGGTGTCAACCGTCCAACAGGGCTACTGGCGTCGGCCATTAAGAGCACTTGTTCACTTGAACATTCTAGTTGCTCCCAACTCCAGTGACACCGGGGTGGTTTGTCTTTTCACGTCTAGTGGGATGCGAATGAAATAATTAGCCTGGGCTTGCTAATCAATACACCACTCAGATACGCGTGCGCATGTTGCGGGAGGTTGTTCGAACGGCGATGCTACCCAAGGGCCGGCGCACTGTCGTGTCTCGGTCAATTGGCGCGATTGCTGGCGCAACGAGCTGAGCGCAGCCTCGTCCTGGAAAATCGAGGGACTAGTGTTTCCGACACGGTACTGCCGACATGTCTTGGAGCGTAATCTGAGTTACGGCGGGTGTGGCTCATGGGAGAAGGACGTTACCCATTGACCCGTGGGTGACCGACCACCGACAATGCGCCGAGTCACGTGTTGCCACGCAACAGCTTTAGGGAAGTCGCGCTCTCGTCTCACTTGCCCCCTTGCGAGATGAGATCACGAATCTTTCTGAAGCCACGTCAAGGCAACAGTGCACAGTTGTCAGCCAAATGTCTCACTGATTCACTTCTTTCGTGTGAAAATGACATTTTGTGATCGCTAATTACTTGGCCCATTCCCTCGATCCGTGCGTACGCCTACCAAAAAAGCTCGCTCTTCCATCCCACTCGCCCCAAAGAGAAAACAACCAACTCATTCCCAGACGACTCTGAGATGTCTGCGCTGGGAGAAAACACGAGTATACTAAGCTCTTCAATCAACGAAAGTAGGTGTCCTAAGTTAAGTACCGAGTGGCGTTTTGTGCAGCGATGCGGGACGCGGTGACACGCTCCAGCATAGACTCGACTTTTATGCTGAGGTCGAGCTGGCCTCAAGGCTCTCAACCGAGTCCATCGACCGTCTGGCCTTGACGTACTTGGGCCATGTGTTGGTCAGCACAAGGTACTTGATGCTCATCTCGGCGTCATCAAAGACGTCCCCGTTAAACTCCTCAGGAATTTCGCCCCAGTAGCGGACACCGGCGACAGGGCTGGTCTCGGACGCGACCGCTTCAGGCGTGTTGATGGCTGTTTGCGAGCTGTTGGACCTGTCATCAGTCCTCCAGCCTGGGGTCTCAAACGGCGTCGCGGGGTCTGGTGACTGCACATCGCCATACACAATCCGCGCTGCGTTCTCGAAGATACCTGCCAGCTTCTTGAAGTCTGTGGACGACAGGTTGACCTGAAACTCAGCGCCCCGAGAGCTGACAAAGTCAATGTAGATGCGCAGGGCCTCCTCAAAGGAGGCACGGATGTCGACCTGCTGGGTTGGACTGGAGGGCACATTCTTTTCAGACATGACCGACATCTTACGGTCAATACCCTTGACGTCGTAGAACTTGAGCCTCCACTCGGCGATGCGGCGCAAGAAAGCAATATTCTCGCCGGAAAAGTCTCTGAGCGCAGAGAACATCTGCAGAGGTCCTGGGTTCTGGATGAGGGTGTGCTCCAGCGCATCCATGGTGAGCACCGAGTTGTTGGACGAGCTGGAAATGGAAGTGCCTTGCTTCCTGCGAGGCTTTTTCCACGACACATAGGACGAGCTATGGTCCGTCGAGATCGAACCGTCGGAGTTGCCCTTATTACGGGCCTCCCAGCGAGCAATGGACTCGAGGGTCTCCTGACGCAGACTCTGGTGCTTGATCACCTCCCAGCAGGGCAGAAAAATGGTAAAGATCTCCAGCAGCATGATCGATACAGCAATCCACTGAGGAGGAATCCAGTACTTGTTGATAGGTGCCATTCCGGGAACATATAGGCCGATAAGCCACATGGGGGTGGCGTGAAGACTAGAAGAGGGTCAACGACACGGTCGGTGCGACGCATACAGGTCAACGTACCCAGCAAGGCAGCAGCCAATGGTCTGAACCCTCCATCCAAGAGTATCGTGAAGACCACGAGCACGCCAGAGGATAATGGGGGCGACGATCCAAGCCCAGAAGCACTGCCAGAAGACCGAGGGCCACCATTCCCATCCAATGCTGGCGGCGGCCTTCTTCTCGGCTGGGGTGCCGTGGACCTCTGTACCAGGGATGCCGAAGGAATCGTGGAATTTGCGCGACACAAGGAACATGAAGAGAGTGAGGAACAGCTGCATCCCGTGTCAGCAAAGCCAAGAGCGCAGGTGGTGCGTCACCGCAAGAACATACCTGGAAACCCATGCCACTACATACGAGCGCGAGCATCTTGGTGGTGTAGTCAAGCGATCGCCACTTTTGGATGAGAGACTTTTTCTTGCTACTGGGTCGACGGTTGGAGGTCATGTCGTCCCCTATGAAGCGCTTTTGCATCTCGGCGACGTAGAGGAACCGTGAGTTGGAGGCGTGGAAGAGAGCGATACCGAAGGGTAGCCAGATACCCATAATCCAGAATTCGACACCCGGCGCCATCAAGGGCCCATAGATATACCCCAGCTGAACGCCAATCCAGTACATGTGGAGGAGGACGACGGCACCAAAGGAAAGGGATAGGCCACGGATACGCAGCATCGGCATGCGTCGGTTGAGGTGGAGGAATAGTATGCCTCCGATGAGGACCAGCGTCCAGAACACGGAGAGGCAGATGTAGAAGGTGCCGAGCCCATTGACTGACACGCTCGTGGGGAGCTCCCCGTCTTTGGTCCCGCGTGTCGCATGCATGATTGCTCTCGGTGTGCCGTGGTCCCTCGCGATCACATAGAAAGATTTACAGCTGGACCCGAGCTGGAGCGAAGCTAGGATCACTCGACCTTGTATAATATATCCAAAGCGGAGGAAGAAAGGAGAGGAGAAAGGAGCGTGTGGTGGTAAAGAGAGGTTTGTGACAGATTGTGGGCCAGCAAGACGAGGGACTGGAACAGGAGGAACCTTATATGAGCGACACGGCCACTGAAATGACGAATGGGAAGACAAAATCTCATCCGGAAATCGTGGATCTCAGACCGGCTGGGGTCAATTATGAGCACGGCAGACGTGGGCAGCGGCTGCGTACGTACGTACTCAGACTCTGACGCTTGCGAGATCAGCTCTGAATCTGGACTAATTCGTTGCCAGAGAGCCAAACGAGCCGGGGTTGCAGGAGGTGCGGCCTATGCCGATCTTCAAAATCGCCGTCCTTGCGTTGAGCTAAAAGGAACCGCCCACCCCAACCAGGCAAGGTCAGTCAAGCCAAGCCGGCAGAAGCAATTCGGGAGCCCACCCGTGCAGCTAAGGGCGCGGGCTGTCCCACTCAGATCCTGGACGACACTCGCTGCTGAGTCCAAGGTGGGTGTTGGTGGTGGTGACCTCTTCGACGTGATAGGCAGCAATCTCGCAAGTCTTTGATCAGAGCCCCCAAGTCAAAACCTGTTGTTTCCGGCCATCACTGCCACACGGCATTCAAGTGTCAATGGCGCCAGGTACACACAATAAGCACTAAACACGATATCTGTCAGTCTTCTACCGCTGCTCATGCAGCCAGATCACGAAGGGAAACATTTGCTCCTCATTTGTAGCATCTGCTCCGAGCGCAACACTGATCCGGTGCGCTTCAACAAGCCAAGTGGGGAGT